TCCTTAGACAAGGAACCACTCAAAAACATAGTGGGAGAAATATTTGAGAAACCTCCAGGACTGAGGCTGCAGATCCAGCCTCAGTCCTGGGTCTACAGCCTCAGTCCTGGGTCTACAGCCTCAGTCCTGGGTCTACAGCCTCAGTCCTGGGGTCCTGGGTCTACAGCCTCAGTCCTGGGTCTACAGCCTCAGTCCTGGGTCTACAGCCTCAGTCCTGGGTCTACAGCCTCAGTCCTGGGTCTACAGCCTCAGTCCTGGGTCTACAGCCTCAGTCCTGGGTCTACAGCCTCAGTCCTGGGTCTACAGCCTCAGTCCTGGGTCTACAGCCTCAGTCCTGGGTCTACAGCCTCAGTCCTGGGTCTACAGCCTCAGTCCTGCGTCTACAGCCTCAGTCCTGGGTCTACAGCCTCAGTCCTGGGTCTACAGCCTCAGTCCTGGGCGTACAGCCTCAGTCCTGGATCTACAGCCTCAGTCCTGGGTCTACAGCCTCAGTCCTGGATCTACAGTCTACAGCCTCAGTCCTGGATCTATAGCCTCAGTCCTGGATCTACAGCCTCAGTCCTGGATCTATAGCCCATCTGTCCGTGGGAGCAGATCCCTCTCTCAATGTGGATCTCTGAGGTTTCTCACTTTTCCTACTAGGTATAGAGTTTTTTTTGGCTGCTGCAGGAGGGTCTGTTAGAATCTCGTGAGGGTCTAACTAAAGGACTGTGGTGATGATCCAGGATCCACTCATTTATGGACATTGGTCTCCATCACTTATGTTTTCTATCATTGCATTTCTTGAACTGTGTTTGATTCTCAGATCTGTGATGGCGAATTCAATGGTTGTGTAACTGACTGAGGCTGTAGAGTCCCCCCACATGTATTACACCGTCAATAAATCCATCTTATTTGAAAAGGTGCCACTTCATTTCATTTCCGACAGTAAGTAACATCTCCTTGGAGAAAACTTGGTCCGAGGCGTTTGTAAACAACCGCATTAAACGGAAAATCCAGTTATAGCCGAGCACAAGGTCTGCAGGGGAAAGCCTTTATCTGGGAGTATGTTGTTGTAGCCTACTTTTATTGCACGCCGAGTTAGCTGAATCTAAACGGTTTGAGCTGAAGACAGAGAAAAGGTCTTGGTGTAATTCGTTTAAAAGGGAAAGATCTCAGTAAGGACAATGTGGGAGGCAAAGGCCAGGTGAGGTTCACATGACAGAGGGAGGCACTCTCATGGCCTGGTTGGGTAACTTTCCTTTTTTTAAAACAATGGCTTGTTCTTGGACTATTGAGTCTAATGCAGAAGACAAATCATCAACCAGAAACTATTCAATTCAATTAATTTCTTTCAATTAAATTCTCTGAGTTTTTACCTTGCCATTAGTCAGAAAATCCTTCAGTTCTCAACTAAACAAAACAACAAATACAATTCAATTCAACGTATTTTTGTAAAAGCCCTAAATAACAACAACAGCCGTCTCCGAGGACTTTACAAAGCTGTCGATTCGCCAACAACAGATCAGAAAATCAAAACAGTTGGAACACATTTTGCAAATAATTTAAAAAAAACACACATTGGAGAGGGATCACCACTGTCCATAAAGGTCCCGGATCATTACTGTCCTTAGACCAGGCATGTCCAAATCCAGCCCTCTGCGTCCTTTTATGTGGCCCTCTACTTTACAGACCTACAGTAGGCCTTGAGATCAAGTTCACAGTGTCATCCAGCCAACTTCAGCTCAGTTATACATGTAATACCTCGTCGTAAAGCTTTGGACCTCTAGAATTCAGTTGTTGAGTTCAGTTCATTGTATAATTGTTTTGATTGTGTCACAATTTGACCCTTACATAGCTGGTGAGATGGTAAACATATGTCATTCAGCCAACTTCAGCTCTGTCATATGTCCACTCAATAACATAACCACACACACCTCTGTTCATGCTGCTTTTAACTGTATTTTAACTAAATTAATTTTGACTTGTGACGTAAGGCAATCTTGAGTGTCTAGAAAAGCGCCTATCATTGTCGGAGCTAATGCTAAAGCTTAGATCAGCCTGAATCCAGTCAAAACAGTTTTTCAATGCGGGTTCACGGCACCTGGAACTGGACAAGCCTGCTGGACTAAAGTGGTCCTCTAAAGGCGCGTTCAGACCAAAAGCTTCAAAAAGCTTTTGACGCGCGTCAGCTGACGCCGGGTTATTTTTGTCATTTTGGTGCTTGAAGCTTTTGACGCGAGTGACGCGAGTGACGCGCCTGACGCGCCTGACGCTGGTGGGAGGAGCTTCTCTGTTGCCGGTGTAGTCCAGAGAAGATGGCGGATTTCCGAAGAGCAGCTTGCCTTTATTTGTTGGTAAAATCCATACAACGTCGTCGTAGGGCTTCTACACAACGTGTATGGGTTCACAGCATACTTCAGAGGCGTGCAGTGTTTGGTGAGTTTCACCATTTACTCCAGGAGCTGCGTATGGACGAGGCTCGCTTTCAGCGGTACTTCCGAATGTCAGTAGCCCAGTTTGATGACCTGCTCACCCGCATCGGAGCTCGCATCGCCCGCATGGACACCAACTACAGGCGCTCGATTCCAGCGGAAGAGCGCCTGTCTATCTGTCTGAGGTTAGTGAGAATTTTCTGATAAAATATCTACAAATACAATAGGAAATAGCGTCCCTAGCATGGATCACGGAGCGAGAGAGAGGAGCAGCCAAAAGCAGTAGTTAAACGTTGAATATACGTTTTAATTAGGACATAAAAGTTAATTGTAATAACATTTCAGGCGGGAAATATACCCCACTAATGTCATATCAGAGGTCTGTTTGGTGATTAAATAGATATTTAAATTTTTGTCGGACTTTTTCCCTCCAGTGCGGAGCTCCAATGCTAACCGGCTAACCACGGGTGTTGAGCGGCGCTGAACACCCGTGAACCCAAGGAGGCTTTTGTTACAGACTTTCTCTGTTATAACGATTGTATTTAGAGTAATCATTAATACAATTGATATATTTGCTATGGCCCTCGTTTGTGCATTTGAAGTCATTTTGAAGGTGCATTGTGTCACTGTAGTGAAGTTATTAGAAAACTGATCAATTAAATCAGCATTGTCTGCTACTTAGTACTTAATATATTCAGATTCCCAAGTGATTAACCCCCCTGTGATTTCACAAGAGAGGGTACATTTCCATTGTTGGTGCAATTCCTGAAAACAAATTTACACAATCATATTGTATGATTAATTTAAAATATTTTTGTATATTGCTGAGTCGTATTTGTATCATTGCAGGTTTCTTGCTACTGGGGACTCCTTCAGGACCATAGCAAGCAGCTTCAGGGTGGGCATCTCCACCATCTCCAGCATCATCCCAGATGTGGTGGCAGCCATCTGGGACGGCCTGGTGGAGGAGTTCATGCCTGTGCCTGGAGAAGAGGAGTGGAGGTTGTCTGCTATGGAGTTTGAGGAGCGGTGGAACTTCCCTCTTTGTTGTGGTGCTATAGATGGGAAGCACATCAACCTCAAGGCACCCCCCAACTCAGGCTCCCTGTACTTCAACTACAAGGGTAGGCACTCCTTGGTCCTCCTTGCTATTGTAGATGCCAACTACAAGTTCAGGGTGATTGACGTAGGGGGCTATGGCAGAACCAGCGATGGAGGGATCCTGGCCAACTCCACCTTCGGTCAGGCTCTGCATGCGGGAACACTTCCTCTGCCAGCTGACCGGCATCTCCCTGGAGCAGAGCACCGAGGCCCCCTGCCCCATGTCTTTGTGGCAGATGAGGCCTTCCCACTGCGGAGGAACTTAATGCGGCCTTTTCCAGGAAGTGGCGGCGCTAACCTTGGACAGCGCATTTTTAATTACCGCCTCTCCCGAGCCCGGCTGGTGGTGGAGGATGCGTTTGGCATTTGGTCATCGCAGTGGAGGATGTTTCGTCGGGACCTCGAGATCCGGCCAGAAGTTGTGGAGAAGTGCGTGAAGGCCACATGTGTTCTCCACAATTTCCTGAGGGTGTCTGCTCCGGTCCCAGTCCTGAGAGGAGCTGCAGCGCAGGGAGATGACTGTCTTCCAGGTGTCGGGAGGATGGGTGCCAACAACGCCACCAGAGAGGCACTGCAGGCGAGGGAGGCGTTCATGGCCCACTTCTGTGAGGAGGGGGCAGTAGCATGGCAGCCGACAGAGTAGTCAGATCCTCACGGGACTGACCCAAAACGGTTCTTTTAAGAGCCACCCATGAAAACTAAAGAGCATTTCTTCTTTAATAATATTTGAGTGTCTGTATTTGCCAATGCATTACTTTTGAATATCAGGACACAAATACTACAACATCCTGATCATGAATTCTAGTCTTGGATAAAGACCATGTCTATGTTTATCCAGTATGTTTTTGAACCATTCACCTGTGCCCTTCTTGTTTGCAGGTAATAGTTCCAGATTCTGCAGCTGTCTCCGACTTCACAACATGTTCAAGCATGGCCTCAATTACAAGTTTGTCCAAACAGGATATGCTGAAATTAATTATGTCAACTAATTTCTATTGTCTCATATTTGGTGATAACGTGTTTACGAGTAAAGTTCTCCTTAATTGAAGTATTTGAAATTAGTGATATTTAACTTATTTGAACACATACCTTAATGAAAAACCTGTACATATTTAAAGTAGCAGACCAAATCTTAAGTTATAAATTTTTTAATGAAATATGTAAAAACAAGTATATACACAAAAAAGAACAGGAACAGGAATAAAAAGGACCTTGCTTGGAGGAGGAGGAGGAGTGCAGGAAGGAGAAGAGTCTGTTTCCTCCCCTGCAAAAGAAGCCACCTCATAGCTAAACACTACTACTAAGTGTGCTCCAATTGTTCCACATTAAGCGTAAATGCGCTGCTCTCATAAAGTAATTTATGAATTTGGAATTTGACAAATTCTAAAGATTGAGGTGGCACCTTATCCAGGAGAGGAAGCAGAGATTGGAGGAAGAGCTCATTTTGTGATGGAGCTGGAGCTGCAGTCTGCCGCAGGAGGGCCATCAGCTCCAGCTCCAAGCGCGATAGCTCCTGGGCGGAGGTGTCCTGGGTGGTGCGCTTCCTCGCTCTCTTCCTTTGTGGACCTGCAAACACCACAAGACAATGGCTTTAAAAATATAAAGTCATGAGTATGTAGGATCTGATAATCTATGAACAACTTTTAAATCCTTTTCTTATGTTAAATAAAATAACTAGATCCTATGTAAAAACAGTATTCGATTTGTATATTTCACTTTTTGATGCCCACATATTCAAAAGTATTTGTGAAATGTTTAATATAACGTTTATACATTCACAACAATAAAATTGATTTCCTACACACCTGTAGGTGCAGCAGCAGGGGAACGACCGGCAGCAGAGGAAGAACCAGCAGCAGAGGACGGTCCAGGAGCCGAGGACGGTCCAGGAGCCGAGGACGGTCCCGGAGCCGAGAACGGTCCAGAGGCCGAGGACGGTCCAGCACTCGGCTCTGTCTCTGAACTTGACTCCGTATCAGCGTCATCTGTTATTAAATAAATTACTTTCACTTCACAGCACGTGTACAATCATTTTAAGAACGTTAATACTCATATAAATAACCTTGCTATAAACAATAATGACAACAAAACAGTTTAGTGGGAAGCTGCATGACTTCTTTCCATACATTGTTTTAGCTACAGACCTACATCTGACATTAGTTTACAGCATATGTACATTTATTTTGCCAGTTGCTTATTAAGAACGTTAATACTCATAAATAACCTTGCTATAAACAATGACAACAAAACAGTTTAGTGGGCAGCTGCATGACTTCTTTCCATACATTGTTTTAGCTACACACCTACATCTGACATTAGTTTACAGCATATGTACATTTATTTTGCCAGTTGCTTATTAAGAACGTTAATACTCATAAATAACCTTGCTATAAACAATGACAACAAAACAGTTTAGTGGGCAGCTGCATGACTTCATTCAATACATTGTTTTAGCTACAGACCTCCTGCAACTGACACCTCCGCTGATGCTGGTTCTTCCTCTTGGAGGTGGCTGTCCCCCCTCTCCTCCTCGGCCCTGTGTGCTGTCATGTTACCAGTAGATGGCCTCGGTGTTACGTAGGGCTCGAGGAAGGAGAGCGATGCCAAGTACCTCCACCTCTGCACTGTCCCTGCTGCTGCTGCACCACTGCGCCTCCTCTCTTTCTCCTTCCTGCACTCCCTCATGACCCTGTCCCTCAGGCTTTTCCACCTCTTTTTGATTTCTTTCTCTATATGAACAAATGGACTTGTGAGCGGGAACAGAAATCATAGCGACTGTACATTGTACGACTCCTGACCGGAGTTTACTAAACATGGAATACAGATATGAATTCTTTACATAACTTACCATCGTACCCGATCTCCTCGCTTATCCTCCTCCAAGCAAGGTCCTTTTTATTCCTGTCCCTGTATAGCGGGCTGGAAACAGCGTAAAGCTCTGGGCGAGAGCTAATCGCCACGATTAAGCTCTCCTCCATGTTCTCGAATATGATTTTGTTTCCCGCTTCCACCGGCTTCATCGTAGAGCGACCCTGTCTCCTGATTGGTTGAAGCCCGCGTCAAAGCTTCAAAAGCTCAGCTTTGCTCAGCTTCGGCGTCAAAGGGATTGTTGTGATACGCGAGCGATTCGCGCGTCAAAAGCTTCAAGTGAGCGCGTATTACGCGCGACCTTTGAAGCTTTTGACGCGCGCCATGTGACGCCGGGCCCCTCGGCTTCACCTGACGCGCTTCACCATTCACTTTCAATGCAAACCTGACGCTTTTGACGCCGAAGTTAAGTCCGGTGTGAACGCCCCTTTACTCACATCGCTGGACACCCCTGCCTTTGACCCTCCTGCATCGGCGAGAAACGACATTGCGTTTTTTGTGTACTTTTTATGAGTTAAATCTACGGCCCTAGTTCAAGAACAGTGACAGAAAACACAGAGAACGCAGACTCACCTCCAGCTCCGTCTCACACCTGTTGATGTCGTCCGTCGACTGGTTGAGTTTCTCCAGCTCGCCCTGAACACGGGACACATTCAGAGTCAATGTTTGATAAAAATCTATTGTTTCCACTCCAACCCTAAGAGAAACCATGTAATTGGTTCAAGTACATAGCTTCAATAGGAATAAGATTAAGAAATTTTTTATTTGTCCCACAGTGGGGAAATGTCAGTGTTGCATCAGCAGTTACAGAACAGTAAGAATGAGGAGCACACAGCACAAGAAAAATAACAAAAACTCTTGAAAAAAAACATGAAAGAAACTCTCTCACTTTAGCATAATAAAGAAGCAAAGTGACAGTGACACATGTGGCTCTGTAGTGCACATTCTGACATTATTGATGCACAACATGTGACTTGTATATAATTTACACTTTTTATGTATATTTTAGGGGTGACACCTTGATTTTTATATCAACTGTGTCGGTGTGTGAAAGTGTTTCTTTGGCTCAAAAGGTTTCCCAGCTTCGCATTGGTTCAGAGCGTTAAGGGGTCCATGGACCATGAGTCGCGTCCAGTTTCAATGCAAAGTCAATGACAGTCTATGGATTTCAACGTTTAATTAGCGTACTTTAGCCACGCTACAGTACGCTACAGAATCAGAAAGATTCTACCTATCAGAAAGAGAAAAGAGATTGAGAATCATATCAAATCATGACCCTAAAATTGAAATTAAAATCGCATCGGGAATTTAGAGAACCGTGACATCTATAAGATAAGATAAGATATTCTTCATGTATCTCACAAAGGAGAAATTTACATGTCACATTTGGCATGGATAGAAACACTCAAGATTGTGCAAAAAGAGAGGAAATGTGCACACTAAAATAAAAAAGTAGCAATTTAAAAGTGTCAATAGTAGTGCAGGTTTTTTCAGTCTTAATACAGTGACTTAAAGTGACTTGTTGTACAGTCTGACAGCAGTGAGGATAAAGGCCCCACCGCTGTCGCACTGAGTCACACTCTGCAATGCACTTTGTCACCCATTACACACAGACACACAACAGTTTAGCTCCATATACATCTGCATAAAACCCTATACAATCCAGTTTAAAACATGAACAGACCTGTATCCTCGGGTCCACCTCTTTAGTAATATATATATTATTATGAAACATTTACAGCTACTTATCTCTGTATATTGTGTGTCCTGCATGTGCCCTGCAGACATCAAAATGTACCCACTGTGGGACAAATAAAGCCTCTGTCATCTTATCACCTGTTTTCTCACCATCTTGACCAATTCCAAAAGCTACAACAAACATCTGAAGGCATCTTAACGCGCCACTGGTTGAAAATTACTAATCCAGACTCACACACTTAGCTGACTTTGCACAAATCCTCTTTATACAAGATCCACAAACCTGAGTGAAGGTTGAGCAATGTCAAAAGCATTTCATGATACGTTTAATAGACAACTGTGATACGTGGTGATTTTTCAAGTAGGTCAGCTTTGGGAAAATGTGAATTTCTCTACAGTCACTGCTGGCATCTTGATAAATCTGCTTTTTGCATTTGCACAGCTCAGTCTGGACTTTGTCTGTTGCGTCTCCTTCTACACTGTGCTGCTGCTGTGTCCTTCAGTAACAGCTCATCGTGTTTGACATCTACGTTAGAATGAAGTCGTGAAACAAATAATCTACAACAAATTCTACTCCATCTCGAGTAGAACACAGAGTAGGATCTGTTGAACTTGCAAACACACAACTAGAACTATGTGGCAAAAAATACATGTCAAAATTAATGAATGTGTTGCTAAAGTATAACTTCAGAGAATCTTTATTAATCCTACAGTGGGGACATTTTAATAGACAGTATACAGGACAGTAGTACATATAAAATATACAGAGATAAGTAGCTGCAATGCTTCATAAGAAAATAAATAAATATCTATCTATCTAAATAGTGTAAATTATATACATATGTGGCAGTATCATAGTAGATAAAGTGAAATTCCTTGGACATTCTGATATTGCAGAATTTCACCAATACATTTGGCAGTATATTACGAGATTCGTTCCACAGTGGGGAAATTTCAGATATAAGTATTTTCATCCAATATAAATGTTTTGTGAATTGTCTTTTTTTATAGTGGCGCAGATACACGTCTTTGTTCCTGAATTTGCAACACAATAATCATAATCTGCAAAACCTCATTAAAAGAACTGAGTCACACGCTGCAATGCACTTTGTCACCCATAACACACACATAACACACAGACACACAACAGATTAGCTCCATACACATCTGCATAAACCACTAAACAATCCAGTTTACAACATGAACTGACCTGTATCCTCGGGTCCACCTCTTCATCCTCATACTCCGGGTCTTCCTCGCTGCGCTGCCCCCGCTCGGAGCTCTCCATGTCGGGCTGCAGATGTGAACAAAGGCGCTGCAGAGGACACCGGTCTATGGTCTGTATGTCTGCGGGGTTTCGGTGAGTGCTCCCCCGGGCTCGGAGGGCATGAGCAGCGGGCAGAACTGGTGCGTGTGGAGAGTGGGAGAGCTCCAGGAGAAGTGACCCAGCACCAGAGCCCCGGGCAGCGAGCGAGAGAGACACCGGTGCTGAGAGAGGGACGTGACCAGGAACGCCTCCTGTGTCCTGGGTACTGAGAGGGGAGAGAGAGGGGGGGGAGCAGCGACACCAGGCGGACACATGAGGAACAGCAGCTTATATAAATATGTTATTATGATTGATCACGATAATACATTTTTAAAATAAAGTACGTGCTTCCTTTTCGTTCACACTTGCCCTCCCAGAGCAGTCAGTTTGACGGCTTTTAGTGTCTCGAAGTGTAATTATTCAGCTCGTGTACATTTTTTGTGACTTTTCTCTTTCTTGTAAATGTCTCCATTGTAAGATCAATAAAGTTTATCTTATTTTATGTAGTTTATTTCTCTGTCATTAATTTTATGATATCTTGAAATAGAGTAGAGAAGTAGAGAAGAGCAAGTGCAAGCAACGTTGCGAGTAACCATAGCAACATACCAGTTAGCATTAGCATTACTAGTTAGCATTAGCCTGTTTAACTGTTTTCCTTCTGTATTTCAAGTTATATTCCTTTTTAAAAGTGAGTAAAATTTAATTTGAAGAAAACTGAGGGTAAACTCAATACCATCAGTTTGAGTTTATGTTGCACCACATGCACTGGGACGGGATGAGAATCAGCACCTCCAAATCCGAGGCCATGGTGCTCGACCGGAAAAAGGTGCCTTGCCCTCTTCAGGTGGGTGGGGAGGTCCTTCCTCAAGTGGAGGAGTTCAAGTATCTCGGGGTCTTGTTCACGAGTGAGGGAAGGATGGAGCGTGAGATTGACAGGCGGATCGGTGCAGCGTGCGCAGTGATGCGGTCGCTGTATCGGACCGTTGTGGTAAAGAGGGAGCTGAGCCGAAAGGCAAAGCTCTCAATTTACCGGTCAATCTTCGTTCCCTCCCTCACCTATGGTCATGAGCTTTGGGTAATGACCGAAAGAACGAGATCGCGGATACAAGCGGTCGAAATGAGCTTCCTCCGCAGAGTGGCTGGGCGCTCCCTTAGAGATAGGGTGAGGAGCTCAGTCACACGGGAGGAGCTCGGAGTAGAGCCGCTGCTTCTTCACGTCGAGAGGAACCAGTTGAGGTGGCTCGGGCATCTGTTCAGGATGCCTCCTGGACGCCTCCCTGGGGAGGTGTTCCGGGCACGTCCCACCGGGAGGAGGCCCCGGGGAAGACCCAGGACACGCTGGAGGGACTATGTCTCTCAGCTGGCCTGGGAACGCCTTGGGGTCCCCCCGGACGAGCTGGAGGAGGTGTGTGTGGATAGGGAAGTCTGGGCGTCTCTGCTTAGACTGCTGCCCCCGCGACCCGGCAACGGATGAAGCGGAAGAAAATAGATGGATGAATGGGTAAACTCAGTAACTTTTCTGAATTCCATTGATTTGAGTGAGAGCAGTCAAAATGACAGCTCTGGGAGTTGACCATAAATGTTTATGAATGTATAAAATATAAAACTGATTATGACTGATCACAATGTTCAACAAACTTCTAAAACTACCAGAGCAGTCATTTTGACGGCTCCCGTCAAAATCAATGGAATTCTGAGGCATTTCCAAAAAGAAACATGTTTAGATTTCTACCAGTTGTTTTACAATTAAGTCAGGGGTTTACCTACCTATACTTAATTATAAAAGGTGTTTTAACCCTCTTCCATCTCTGTGCGAAAAGAGTAAAAACTGCCACAATTGTAAGGCACTTTGAGAGTGTAAAAAGGGCTCTATAAATACAAATTTTCAATAAGATACATTTCCTGTATAAACCATTTATTACTCAGCTTCAGGTGGAATAAGATAAACAAATGAATATCCACTTGTATTAAGCTAAATGGTCAATGGAGTGGTGGGAGAAAGGATAAGGAAGCTTCCAATGGCTCCTATGTTTTTGTATTTCCTGTGCTCAAACGGCTTCATTCTTTGATCTGTTGCTGAGGAATAGATTACTGTTGTGATTTAGTGCTATACAAAAGTAAATTCAACTGATTTGACCTGACAACGCTGCCAGAACAGAGCAGCAGAGGCCAAAACTGTGTCTCTTGTCTGGACTCGTCTGGATTTTTCACGCCACCAGCACCTTATGAAACCTTGTTGACTTCTTTCCTCTCAATCTTATCTCCACATCAAAAACAACTTTTACATAAAACAAATAACAAACCTCACAATCTGCAAATCCATTTTTAGTCAAATATTTAAGGTATTTCCGTGCGAGTTCAGATCTCCTCAATGCGTTTGTGTCACTCTATGTCCACGTGAAATGAGCCTGTGAAGGCTGCAGATGGAGAAGTGCCGCAGTGTCCTCTGGGTGTCCTGCCCACAGACACTAAAGTGCTAAGTAACCTGTGGACAAGCTGCCGGATGATTTATAATCCAGAGAACTGTAGCAGAGATTAAAGCTGTTATGTCTAATGTAAAGGTCACTTGTGGAGCAACCAATCCTCACAATAACATCTCAGACCAGAAACGTTATATATCTATAAATACAATGCAATCAATGATCAAATATGAGGTAATAAGTGCTTGAATTGTTTTTATCTTAATCTGACACATACTGACAGTGTTAAAACAAGATTCTCCAATAGGACAAAGCCATATTGTCTGATTTCAAGAAGTATTTTCTCATTCCAAGAGAGACATTTCTTGCATCTTTTTGAAACAAGACAATTTTTGCTTTATCCCGTTGGCGAATCTTGTTTAAAGGCAGTCAAAAGGTGCTCAAATGAAGATACGCGTTGGCAAATTTGAAACATTTTTGCCCTGATTTTCCACACTTTTTGCAGTGTATGTTGGAGTAATGCGTCACAAAAGTAATGGTATGACTGTAATGTGTTGCTGTAAAGCAGTAATGTACGATATTCCAAAGAAGCCCGGGTAATATTTGACTCGGTATAAAAAGGTCAGTATCGTGCGTTTCATTGTATTTTAACCCAAAATTAAAATGTGTTGCGTTTTTATACTCAAACAGCAACATCTGCGCCAGTACAAACAGTCTAAAAGTGTTGTTTCTTTCTGGTAGAAGACGTCTGAGGCTGAAGCAGAAGCAGCACTACGTGGACAACGGTACATTTTACAGATGGACAGACTCGATTCTTTAGAGTTTATTGGAGGCAAAGATGTGGAACATAACAGTTAAGTTTATGTCCAAACCATGGTCCAAACCAGAGCTCTATCCACCTCATGCTGGCATCATAAGCTACATTTAGTTTGTATTCATATATCTGGTGAAAGTAACTCCAAAGTAATACAGTATAAGTGTAATGCTTTACAATAGAGATACAGAATTTTGTAATAACATGTTACTTTGGAATAACAAGTCAGAGATAATGTACTTGTCCAAGACTGGATATGATTAAAAAAAAAACAGCTCTCCTCCACAAAGATAAGCATTTTTTATGATTTACATCTACAGAGGAATGTAGCAGTGGAATCAAATTCTAACATCTACTTCACTGATTCAAGACAGGACTCCTGTCAGGTCTGCAAAGAGAGAGTGATGTGGCCAGTCCCTGTGGTCCTCAGAGTCCCAGCAGGAGGCCAGTCCCTGTGCTCCTCAGAGTCCCAGCAGGAGGCCAGTCCCTGTGCTCCTCAGAGTCCCAGCAGGAGGCCAGTCCCTGTGCTCCTCAGAGTCCCAGCAGGAGGCCTGTCCCTGTGCTCCTCAGAGTTAGTTCATATGGCACTAACATGTCACAGATGTACTTTGGTGTGATAATAAATCTAATAGATTATATAGACATCCGTAAACAAACACGTATCTCCTTCTGATTTGAAATTAATGAAATCATTTTTTGACATGAGTAACTTAAGGCTGGTCTTTCCACTTTGTGATTTTCTGATCCCAGGTCAGATATTTGAAGGTGTTTGGTTGGTGTGGCAGTGGTTGGTGAAGTTTTCTCTCCACGTACCATGAAGCCAGGGGTTGCTGAAGTAGGAAGTGAAGCAGAAGATAAAGGGTGCCAGAGGAGTTCCATTTCAAATATCACAATTCAAGAAGTGGAGATCGCGGTTCTTTCCTAACATTTTAGAAGATCCTCTATCTATAAACCTTTAGGTCTGAGCATCAGGCCTTTTCCTCTTTGTTTTCCACCTGACCACTTACAGTGCCTTGCGAAAGTATTTGGCCCCCTTGAACCTTTCAACATTTCGCCACATTTCAGGCCTCAAACAAAAAGATATAAAAGTTGTTTTTTTTTTGTCTAGAATCAACAACAAGTGGGACACAACCGTGAAGTGGAATGAAATTTATTGGTTAATTTAAACTTTTTTAACAAATAAAAAACTGAAAAGTGGGGCGTGCAATATTATTCGGCCCCCTTGCACTAATACTTTGTAGCGCCACCTTTTTCTGCAATTACAGCTCTAAGTTGCTTGGGGTATGTCTCTATCAGTTTTGCACATCGAGAGACAGGAATTCTTTCCCATTCTTCCTTGCAAAACAGCTCGAGCTCAGTGAGGTTGGATGGAGAGCGTTTGTGAACAGCAGTCTTCAGCTCTTTCCACAGATTCTCGATTGGATTCAGGTCTGGACTTTGACTTGGCCATTCTAACACCTGGATACGTCTATTTGTGAACCATTCCATTGTAGATTTGGCTTTATGTTTTGGATCATTGTCCTGTTGGAAGATAAATCTCCGTCCCAGTCTCAGGTCTTTTGCAGACTCCAACAGGTTTTCTTCCAGAATGGTCCTGTATTTGGCTCCATCCATCTTCCCATCAATTTTAGCCATCTTCCCTGTCCCTGCTGAAGAAAAGCAGGCCCAAACCATGATGCTGCCACCACCATGTTTGACAGTGGGGATGGTGTGTTCAGGGTGATGAGCTGTGTTGCTTTTACGCCAAACATATCGGTTTGCATTGTGGCCAAAAAGTTCGATTTTGGTTTCATCTGACCAGAGCACCTTCTTCCACATGTTTGGTGTGTCTCCCAGGTGGCTTGTGGCAAACTTTAAACCAGACTTTTTATGGATATCTTTGAGAAATGGCTTTCTTCTTGCCACTCTTCCATAAAGGCCAGATTTGTGCAGTGCACGACTGATTGTTGTCCTATGGACAGACTCTCCCACCTCAGCTGTAGTTATCTGCAGTTCATCCAGAGTGATCATGGGCCTCTTGGCTGCATCTCTGATCAGTCTTCTCCTTGTTTGAGATGAAAGTTTGGAGGGATGGCCGGGTCTTGGTAGATTTGCAGTGGTCTGATACTCCTTCCATTTCAATATAATTGCTTGCACATTGCTCCTTGAGATGTGTAAAGCTTGGGAAATCTTTTTGTATCCAAATCTGGCTTTAAACTTCTCCACAACAGTATCTCGGACCTGCCTGGTGTGTTCCTTTGTCTTCATGGTTCTCTCTGCGCTTTAAACAGAACCCTGAGACTATCAAAGAGCAGGTGCATTTATACGGAGACTTGATTACACACAGCGGGGCGACAGTAGCTCAGTGGGTAGAGCATTGGCCTTAAGGCCAGAAGGTCGTGGGTTCAATTCCCACCTCTGCACTTTCTCCATCGACTCCCACTGATGACTGCTGTCGTTGTGTCCTTGGGCAAGACACTTTGCCACTTTGCCCAAAGCCCCCACTGAAAGATCAAGGCTATGCTCACACTCAGAGAGCAGCCGTCCTCCTGTGGACTCACCACCTGCAGAGGGTCAGTGAGGGGCTGGTGCTATGAGACTTGGGTGGCATCTCTGACTGTCACCCCCCTGACCCAGAAATGGATTAAAGGGTAGAAAATGGATGGATGGATGGATTACACACAGGTAAATTCTATTTATCATCATCAGTCATTTAGGACAACATTGGATCATTCAAAGATCCTCACTGAACTTCTGGACTGAGTTTGCTGCACTGAAAGTAAAGGGGCCGAAATAATATTGCACGCCCCACAGTTTTTTATTTGTTAAAAAAGTTGAAATTATCCAATAAATTTTGTTCCACTTCACGATTGTGTCCCACTTGTTATTGATTCATGACAAAAAAATTGAAATTTTATATCTTTATGTTTGAAGCCTGAAATGGGGCGAAATGTTGAAAGGTTCAAGGGGGCTGAATACTTTCGCAAGGCATTGTATGTTAACCGTACATCTCTGCTGCTGTGACCTGAAGGGCTGTTGCTGATTATTACTATTGTTAGCTTTCTAGAATGATCAATTTTATTTCTTATTTTTGCTGCCACTGGACACCTGAATTTTTGCGATCAGGATCGATAAAGTATCTAACTATCTATTTATCTATATTTGTTGATCCCTGTATGCACTCACTCACCCACATCAATCTACCTTAGAACTACTGTAAGACAGGACTTTTCTCTGGTTGTGTTAATATATATATATATATTTTTGATAATAGTTATTCACTTCTCTGTAGTCTGCACTAAGCTGGACCTGATCTGCCTGGGGAAAAAAACACTAAATACTAATATCGTTAATATTGTTGATTCAACAGCGAAACAGTGGATCGCACGATCACCGTACAGAAGACATCTTCTCTTCACGTTACACAACATAAATGTGGAAATGTGTTTAATGAATAAACAGAAACCAAACATTATGTGCAGAATGTGAGTCTGCTGTAAGGTTTAGGTGAAAGCAGTAATGTTTTTGTTTGTACGAACTGAGAGCATTTGTGTAGCGGGAATGTTGAACAAAATGACTGATCAAAGTGTAAAGGAAATATACAAATAATGTATATTTAGTAGAATATTTATTTACACATGCACATGAGAAAAGGGAGTCATTTTCATGTTTCTTTTTAACATTATATTATTACAATATGAAAGCAAAACTATATTTGTTAAAGTACTATAGTAATTGTGTAAAAATGGGTTCGTTGTGAATTTAGAACACACTGGGGTTCTGGAATTCTGAAGAAGTTCCATTGTCTCAACGGCAACCGAATTTCCATGGCAACCGTGATGTCATCGCCTGACAGCAAAGACGGCTAGGGGGATGGACCCAGAAGGGAGTCAAAATACTTTGGTCCGAGACGGGTTTACGGTTGAGATACAGTTTGATTCAAAACTACTCACAATAAGCCTTTCGAGTTCGCTATATTCTACAAAGATGGATAGTTCTTACGCATCCAACATGTTTTTGCCTCAAAGGATCGACATCAACTACAAAGATGAGGTCTGCGAGGTCTTTGAGCTAGCTAAGAAGCATGGTATGGAAGCCAGGCTGTGGATGGTGCAGAAAGATGGACCAATCCATAACGCCATTTTCACATATCGTCTGACAATCGGTGACTTTAGCGCGGACGCTAAAGGACCCACCGCTTCAGAAGCTAAACACCTTTGTGCTCAACAAGTTCTTCCAGAGCTGCGATGTCTTCCTCTTCCGTCTGACGAGAAGAAGAAGAAGAAACGCACTGGCGTCTGCTGGAGAGAACTTCCCACCTTCAAAGACGATGATAACCCCATATCTTGTCTTGATATAATTGTGGTGAACATGAAAGGGATTCCTCCCAAGTACACGATTGTGGACGTGGACAAACAGTCAAATCCTTGGATCTTCTACGTCCAGGTCACGGTGGCGGACGTGACTGCGGTGGGACTCGGCTTGGACAAGAAGGGCGCTAAAAGGAATGCGGCTTCCAAAGTTCTCAATACGTTTGGATACAACTTTTTAGTCAAGGAGCCAGAGCCAAGACCCAAAGAAGACATCACATCTCAACAGATAGAGACTGATGTTCTTAAGGAGGTCCCCAAGGACGAGCCACAACAGGACCAGGAATGTTCTGTAGCTCAAGACGACCCCATCCAGACAGAGGAGACCCAGTCCCCAACAGAGGACACATCTGTGGACACATCTGCTGCTGCCCAAGACGAAGCAGCAGAGGTTTTCCTGAATGACACTGAGGAGGAGGTTCAGACACCTCCTGAGGAGTTTGTGTTTGTAGAGTCCCCTGAAGACACTGCTACTGATGGTGTTGATCAGGCAGAACTTCTGAGGGATCAGGAACAGTCACCAGTACTCACACAGACTGTAAGTGAGGAGGTAACGATTTGTGATGTTCCCCACGATGCCAGCACAACTCAAGAGACTGAGACTGACGTCCATGAGGAGGTTCAGGACACATCTGTTTTGTCTTCTACTGCTGCTCAAGACAAAGTAGTAGAGGGTTTCTTAGATAACATTGAGGAGGAGGTTCAGACACCTCCCGAGGAGTTTGTTTATCTAGAAACCTGCGAAGACACTTCTAATGATGGTGTTGAACAAGCAGCACTTCTGGACTCCATCGAGGAGGAGGTTCAGACACCTCCTGAGGAGTTTGTGTTTGTAGGGTCCCCTGAAGACACTGCTACTAATTGTGTTGATCAGGCAGAACTTCTGAGGGACCAGGAACAGTCACCAGTACTCACACAGACTGTAAGTGAGGAGGTAACGATTTGTGATGTTCCCCACGATTCCACACCAGAAATGAACGGGTGGAAACAAGCAAACAAAACTCAAGAGACGGAGACTGATGTCCTCGAGGAGGTTGAGGAGTCACAACAGGACCAAGAATATTCTGTTGCTGAAGACGACTTCTTTCAGACGGAGAAGATCCAGACCCCAAAAGACGACACGTCTGTTTTGTCTTCTGCTGCTGCTCAAGACGAAGCAGCAGAGGTTTTCTTAGACAACATTGAGGAGGAGGTTCAGACACCTCCTGAGGAGTTTGTGTATCTAGAAACCTGCGAAGACACTTCTACTGATGGTGTTGACCAAGCAGCACTTCTAAGTGACCAGGATCAGTCACCAGAAGTCTCACAGACTGAAAACAAGGAGGTAAAAGTTCACAAAGTCCTTGATCAGTCTGAGGATGACCACACCACGAACTTTGAAGAAACAGATGGAACTTTTGAAGACTTAACAACACTGACGACTCAAGAGACAGTGGTCACTGACACGGTTAGTGCTACGTCACAGCCTGACATTATCACTGAGGATATCTCTGAGTCTTTAGAAAGCAGTTCATCAACGGACACGTTTACTGAACCAAGTAGGATTTCTCCAACTGTCCTCAAAGGTTCCTACTTCATCACCAACGCACTCACCCAAAAACTGTTCATACTGGCTGGATCCAAAGACCACCGTAACGCCAGTCTAATGGGTGCCCGCCTGCATTACAGCATCAAGCAGCAGCTGGAGTTGGATGAAAACTGCCAGATAAAGCCAAAGAACTTAGAGAAAGTCGGTAAAGCAGCCGCCAAACGTCTCTCTGCAGAATATGGATCGGCAGACGCAGTCCTGAGGGCGGCTCGAGAGGACGACACAGCTGCATTTGAAGCGGCTGCAGGGAAACATATAAACGCTGAACTGAGATCCTTCCAGAAGCGTCCCAAGTCTGCGCTGTCACGGCTCTTCTCCAGGATGAGAAAGGCCTTCACCTTCTAAGGAGGCCCACCCCAGAGGACCAGCACTTTGACCATTTTTGAGGAGACACGAGTTGGTTTCTTGAAGATGTGTTCCCAGTGTTTTAACAGAACTTTGAATTATTTTTGAGGAGGCATACGTTGCTTTCTTGAAGATGTTCCAAGTCTTTTAAGAACACTTTGAACCATTTTTGAGGAGACACAAGTTGCTTTCTTGAAGATGTTATCCCAGTGTTGGTCCTCTAACAGTTTTGGGACATAGTTCCTAAATTCTAAGCTGATATAATTAAATAAAGCATATGCATAGCAATAATTTGTCATAGTTTCATCTGTTAAGCCTAGTGTATAGTCGTGTGGTGCGGAGCTTATGGTGGTGACGTGACGTCACTTGCGCAACACGTGGATCACCGCAAGGCCCTTACGTAGCCTGCCACGCACAATCAAAAATCTCTAACTACGCAAGCCGCGACGCAGAGAAGCTCCACTGTGATTGGTCCGTGTGTGATTACTTTCTGGGAAGCATGGAGCGGCTGCAGGAACATGGACGAGACACTTCGGAGCAGACTGCTTTGTGCTTCGAAGGAACCGAAGGAAAAGCAGATTGGGCTCATGGCTGAGCCTGATATATACGCGGAGCCCGTGGACTAGAGTTCTGTTGCATATCTAACATATTTATAACTTATAAACTGTGCAGTCGTTTTTTTGCACTGTTCTTGTCTTTGTTTGAATCGTAGCTTATTGCGTCTTTTGCATTCCTCCTGCACTTGTAAATCGTTCATGTTTGTCTCAGATATTTACCACCGTTTTGCTGTTTGTGAATAAAACTTCATAATAACCATGTTTCCAACAATTACTGTGTCTTTATTCACAACATCACAGTTAAATGACTTATGAAACGATGAGTCCATAGAACTATCACATAAACCAATACTTATTTAACTGATACCAGTAGTTCAGCCGAGAAATTTGAGTTTCAAAATGAGTTTTACAGACCCTCCATCGTTTTAACAATCAGAAAGTCTTTGATCCGGGTTGCCAGAACTCACCGCGTCGAGCTAATCTCACCGCTAAAGTACCATGTGGCCGAAGAATTAAAAAAGCTCTCGTTATGATTCTTAAACCATTAACGACAAAACAAGGACTAAAACCAGGATTTCTATCTTTGTGAAAAATGTGTTGGTTATAGATTTGTTGTTCACAAAACTCTTGTCTATTCAGATATCATGGTCCCAGCTGGATTTGTCGGCATATCTGGCAACATGAGTCAGGGAGAGTGGGACTGGTTGCAGTACCACTACACTCTAGTCTAGAACCAGCGGGACTTTCCCAGAGGACTTTCCTGCAGCACTAGTTTTCTCATAACAACATATTCAGGACGACAGCCACAGATTGTTTGGGTCTAACAACATTACAGTTCACTTCATTCATTCTAATATCAGCTGCATCCGGGTCTGGGGCTGTACCTCTCATTCTACTGTAATCCATTTAGAGCGAGATGAGATTTACAGTGTGTGGCCTTGTTTTAAGCCTAATCACAAACTCGTCTGATAATAATTTTAGGTCCATTTCCTGCTGTGCTTTCCCCTTGAGATGAAGTGGTCTGGGACTGGCACACACTCAAACACACACACACACACACACACACACGCACACATGCATAGATTTGTCAAATTAAAGCAGCAATATGTAAGATTTTCATGTCAAGTCATCATTAAAGGGCCCTAATCTGTCAAAAGGCAGTAATAAAACATGTTCTTTTCCAAAACTTATTTAACTAAATTTGAGTTTCAAAATGAGTTTTACAGACCCTCAACCGTTTCACCAATCAGAAAGTCTTTGATCCGGGTTGCCAGAGCTCACCGCGTCGAGCTAATCTCACCGCTAAAGTACCATGTGGCCGCAGAACTAAAAAAAGCTCTTGTTATGATTCTCAGATCATTAATAACAAAACAAGGAATAAATTGTGGGTTACTATTTTTGTGAAAAAGGTGTTGGTTATAGATTTGTTGTTGATAAAACTCTTGTCTATTCAGCTGTTATGGTTCCAGCTGGATTCGTCTGCATATCTGGCAACCTGAGTCAGGGAGAGTGGGAGAGGCTGCAGCACCACTTTTGGACAGATTTTTACATACTGCTCCTTTAAATAAATAAATGCTATATTATTGTAAGATATGGTGCAACACTGGAGGGTGAAGAGAGAAATGGACTGGAGCAGTACTTTCCTTTGGCCATGGTCAGTTACTGTGACGATCTCTTTACATGTGACATCACTGAACCACCAAAAAGGTTTCGCCATTTTTTATAGTGATAATGTCTATGTAAAATGTATGTACAATCTTAACCTCCTCCATCTATCCTTCTTCGGGTAACAGACAGCGGAAAAAATCTACAGTTATAGATTGCTCCTGATTCGCTCGTTGGTTGCCGGGAGGTTGCTATCTGCGGAAAAATAGAGAATTTTCCACAAACTCCAAGATTCTGCTTTGCGTTTATTGCGGCAGTATTTGTAGTTTGCTTGTTGGTTCTGTGACTGTGTGGTTCAGCAACATCACAGTCAACAGAGACCAGAGAGAGAGACCAGTGAGATCAGTGAGAGAGACCTGAGAGACCAGAGAGACCAGAGAGAGAGACCAGTGAGATCAGTGAGAGAGACCTGAGAGACCAGAGAGACCAGAGAGAGAGACCAGAAAGAGAGGAGAGAGAAAGACCAGAGAGAGAGACCAGAGAGAGAGACCAGAGAGAAAGACCAGAGAGACCAGAGAGAGAGACCAGAGAGATCAGTGAGAGAGACCTGAGAGACCAGAGAGAGAGACCAGAGAGAGACCAGAGAGAGAGGCCAGAGAGAAATCGGAGAGAGACCAGCAAGAGAGACCAGAGAGAAAGACCAGAAAGAGACCAGAGAGAGACCAAAGAGAGAGAAATCAGAGAGAGGTGCTCTGCTTTGAAAGAGGACTGCGATCTGTCTGTTCTACAAGTTCTTTATGAATCTGCAGAACAGACAAACTCTTCTGGCCCCTGTTAGCATGCTAACATGCTAGCATGCTAACATGTCTGAACAAAGGACTTTAATGATCTTGCATTGAAGCTGTTTCTGTTGGTTGGTTTCACAGTGACGATTGTTTCTTGTACTTTTTAACTTGTTCTATTCCTGTAGTTGCCTGTTTCACGCTGGGAACATTTTGCACATTTATTCCAATGGGGTTTTACTGCAAATGGCAAAGAAACTGAATGTATTGCACTCAGAGTCAGAGTACAATAGTGTGTGGAGTTGGATGGAGCGGTTACATAAGAGAACAGGTCACAGAGAGAGCACTGACCGTGAGCGAGAGACCACAGCTGGACACTCCCTGCAGCGCGGTGACATTTACTCTGGGTGATGTCACATGCAACACAGAGGCTTATTCTGTAGGCTAACCTACAGAACAGACACGTCTATCCCTCAATGTATCAAGGCAAGGCAGCGTTATATGTGTAGCACAGTTCATACAAAAGGCAACTCAAAGTACTGAACAAAACAAGAGACACAAAAGGCATTAACATCTTTAAAAACAGATTACTCCAATTTGAAAACTTGCAAAAAAACTTTGAATTTTGAAATAGAGAAGAGAACTAGAGAAGAAGAGCAAGTGCAAGTAACGTAGCAAGTAACCATAGCAACATACTGTTAACTTGCTACCGGTTAGCCTTAGCATTACCAGTTAGTATTAGCCTGTTTAACTGTTTTTTTTCTGTATTTCAAGTTATAATTACTAGTTTTAGCACTTATAGAGTAGCTGCAATCTTCAACATGTTTTGTTATTGGCAGTGAATTTGAAAGGATTTGCTCAAGAAGGCGAGAAATGTTATTTGTATGGCACTAACACAGGTCTGCCTTCTTAAAAAAAAACTACTTAGTAAAAGGAAAATGTGTATTGTCATGTTTTTTTTTTTTTTTTGATTTTTTGTATTTCTTTCTATCCATTTTATGCAACTAAAATTCTGGCCCAGTCTTCCTGATGATGTGAGATTGGCCTCTTCTACCATGTTAATGTTAATGTTTTTTTCTAGTTTCTTTCGGCGCTGGTGTTATCCAAAGTAAATGTATGGCTTGAATCAGTTTTGTGATTTCAAGGCATTCTTTCAAGTTCTGTGTGATTTGTGATCTTAGCAATAAATATCTACAGTGGGGCAAAAAAGTATATATCATTCTGATCTGATTTTTAAATAATATTCTTGTAAATGATGGTGGAGTGTGAAGTATTTCGTCACTTACAAACAAGATTTCTGGCTCTCACCTATGATTAAAAAAAATACTGGCCTACCTCATCTTTTGTGGGAGAACTTACACAATTGATGGCAAACTAAATACTTTTTGCACCACTTTATAATCGCTACTAGTTTAGTGTCGCTACATATAACAGCGTGAAACTAGATCACGTTTACTACTGTTACTACTGAGCTGCTACTGGTCAAAGGAAGTGGAAAGCTCTCTTCAAAGCTCTCAGCCCACACAGAAAGAAACACACACGCACGCACAAAAACACACACACACACACACACACACACAGACAGACACACACGCACACTGGGGGTATAGACAGTAGATGATATAGACTTTCACACTCTTTGCTCACCCCTGAGTCTGCTACACACACAGGAGAATGAAGGCCTGTGTCACACTCACCTTTGTCCTGGCCGTCTCTTTATATCCGTCTGCAGCTGAGGATGCAGAAGGTTTGTCCTTTATAAATTGTATGTATTGAAAAAATTGCCTTATTTTAGTTTTACAAATGCTGACATTAATGGACAGAGGTCGTCCCGCTCTCTCTGAACCAATTTGTGTGTTATTATAGCATTTCTTGTGTTTGAACAGTTTGTTTCTCTGATCTGTTGTTAGCGAAACGATATCTTTGTTAAGTCCTCCAGGAGGGCTCATCTCTGACACTGCAGACACTTGAGGATTGGGTTGGTATCACTGGTACTGCCTTAAGTGCGAGCCCTAATCAGAGGAGAGACATTACTTTGACGAGTTTGGGGACTGCGCCTCACACCACATGGCCGTAAAAAGTGGGGTGCCCCAAGGATCGATCCTGGGCCCCTTTCTTTTCAACATCTAAATGCAACCATTGGGTCAACTGATACAAGGCAATGACGTATCCATCACAACTGGGCAGATAAATACTTTATTGATACCCGTAGGAGTATTTCTGATGAAGCAGAAACACATCCATCCAAAAAAACAAAACAAATAAACAGATAATTCAAAAAAATAGCTAACAATAGTATTAAAATGCATCAGCACTTTAGGTCACAGCAGCAGAGGTGGAGCAGCCGCAGAAGGCCAATTTTATATATATATAGCACATTTTAAAAACAGACTTAACTGTCACGAATAAAATACAGCATAAAATAAAATACAGGTCCACTATCATAAAAGTTTCACCTAAGCCAGAGCAAAGAAATGTGTCTTAAGCTGCGATTTAAAACTCTCTACAGACGGGGCAGTTCTGTAGTCTCTGCTCTAGTCCTAAGTAAAATGCTGAATACTTTGTTAACATTTTTCAAAAAGTCCTCCAGTGGATTTTCACCTGATCCGCTTGTGTAGGACCATGAATCCTCTCTGCTCCGGTCTGGACCAGTGTAAAACCATGAACACTGTACTGCGGCAACAAGGCAGAAAAAAGCAGTTTCCAGCGCATTCAAAAGAAAAACTTGATGATGTGATCAGATCTATGTCTCGCTGTCTGGAGGCAAACATGAACTGTACACAGAATCAGAGGGAAAGTGTTTGCAGCCATCTCCAATCCTCCTCTGTCTCTGTGTTCCATTCATCTGATTAGAAATCTGGGGGTAATAGTGGATTCAGATCTCATTTTTAATTGCCACATTACATTAGTATCATCAACCGCTTCTTAGCCTCTAAATAACGCTGCATGAATTAAAGGCATATTGTATAAAGCAGAGTTGGAGATTCTTCTTCTGCATTTGTCTCCAGTGTTAGACTACGTTAACGTTCAGCTCACTCGTCTCTCCAAACGTGCTCTAAAGCTGCGGTATATTCAGCTCCAGTCCTGACTAGAACCAGGAAGTACCATCACATCGGTCCTGGTGTCAGGTCCCCGCTTCCTGTGGCTCAGAGAATAGACTTAAAAGCAGCTCTGTTTGTTACAAGTCTCTCCACGGCCTCGAACCAAAGCACATCTGTGACATGTTAGTGGCATACGGACCAATTCTGAGGAGCACAGGGACTGGCCCCTGCTGGGACTCTGAGGAGCACAGGAACTGGCCTCCTGCTGGGACTCTGAGGAGCACAGGGACTGGCCTCCTGTTGGGACTCTGAGGAGCACAGGGACTGGCCTCCTGCTGGGACTCTGAGGAGCACAGGGACTGGCCTCCTGCTGGGACTCTGAGGAGCACAGGAACTGGCCTCCTGTTGGGACTCTGAGGAGCACAGGGACTGGCCTTCTGCTGGGACTCTGAGGAGCACAGGGACAGGTCCACAGCGTCAGGAAACCAGCCAAACAACAAATCCATATTGAATGGACGGCGAGATCTATAGCTTTTAATATAATAATTCTCTTCTTGCAGATCCTTTGCAGGTTCTGTACAAATCCCAGACCTACAGTCGGTCTCCGGGGTCGTCAGTCAGACTCTTGTGTCAGACCGACTTTGACCCAGAGCGATGCAGTGATGTCCACGCCGTCTGGTTCCACAAGGAGCTTCCTCTGAGCGACCCGGACAAGTATCTGACTGCAGTGAACGAGAGCGTGGGCCAGAGACAGTGGAGACGCAGACACGTGCTCACGGAGATACTGCGCCTGGGGCCAGAGGACGACGGACACTACCAGTGCAGGGCCACCGCCAACTGCACCATGATGAAGACCTGGATGGGGCATTTGATCCATGTAACCGTCACCTAGCATTCTGTATATTTTAACAGTTTTATCTATGTTACTGTAACCTAGCATGCAAAATATATTAGTTTGATCTGTGTTACTGTGACCTAGTACCTATTATACTGCAAAAAGTAATGAAAGAATTCTCAGATTTGGCAAAATGTATCTTAATTTGAGCACATTCTGACTGAGCCTTAAAACAAGATTTTCCAACAGGACAAAACAAAACGATTTTGTTTTAAAGAATCTTGTTTTAACACAGTCAGAATGTGTCAAATAGTTTGACTTTGACGCTCAGAGTGAGTTTGTATACACAGCGTCTACATTTTTCAGTTTCAGATATTCTGAATTTTACTTTTTTTGCATTTCCGCCTGGATTTTTCACATCCAAACCTGCATACATTGTTATTTTTTTGGTGTCTAGACATAAACTTTGCTCCAAGGTGTCAGTAAAAGCTTGAAGTAGTTTTTGATTCTGTTTATTTGCTTCTTTACAAGTAATTATGTCATATATGCATCATTTGTATGTATTTTTTTAGGCAAACCAATCTTATTTGATAATGAAGTCTAATGTACTCTTGAAAATCCTCACATCCACAGAATCCCCAAAGACTAACTTACAATTTGAGTACAATTTCTAGCATTTTCAACAATGTTCAGGCTGTGAAAAGGCCTGTGTAGTACTTTTATGGGAATAGGCCTGAGAGTTTAAGAAGTAAAGTTAAAAAAGTAAGTAATGTTTATGTATATAGCACATTTTACAGACCAAGGTACAGACCCAAAGCCCTTTACAAAGTTCAGAGTCAGATATTGTTCCAATCATTCCACACACGGTGATGACAGAAGCGAGTCCAGAACACACTGGACCATCAGCTCCAACACCATCCATTCACTCTCACATTTACATTCAGACCTATTGTGCATGTTTTTAGTGGTAGGGGAAACCGGAGCACCCGGGGAGAACATGCAAACTCCTTTTAGAAAGGCCCTGTTCCGACCAGGATTTGAACCCAGGACCTTCTTGCTGAGAAGCGAGAGTGCTAACCACTCAGCCACCGTGCTGCTGCAAAAACGCTTGATTACCCAGCATTCAATATATAACAGAAACAAAAGAAAACAAATGTATGGACATTGGTCATCCTGCCCCCTAAAGTAGCCTGGGGGCCATTTACGGTCCACTTCACATTTCTACGCGGCCCCATGACTTTTCCCAGTCATAAATTGTCAATAATCTCAATCTGTAAATCCATCTACAGACCCTCAGCCTTAACATTTTGTCCAGTTTTGGTTCAATGCAAATAACCCAAGAAAGATGATCCAAAAACCCATTATTTATAAGAATTTGTGCAGAATATTTTCATGTCAAAAAAACAAAACAACAGCTGTTAATAAACTTTACACAAACACAGAAAATACTGGATTTTTGGCTTCATTTTTAAACATGTTTTACTCTTGAAGAAGCTGTTGTTAGAATCTGAATCGACATTAAACACATACAAGAGTGAGTTGATAACAAAAAATCATCTCTTGATTCAAACACAGAACATTTTATCTGTTGCAGTTAAGGTTAAGGCCGACGGACTGACAACACATTCTGGTTCTGTATCTACGTCAAAGGACCGCATGTTCCAGGACAAAGCAGATAGTTTTAAATATCAGAGAAGACATAAGGAAGTGGAAAATACAGCCTTGAACTACTAAGTATGTGAATTGGGATCAAGGGAAATCATTGTTTGTTTGACAGCGTGCAGCCATTTTATAAAATTATCAATGAATGAATGAAGGCAGGACAGTACATTACAGCAGAAAGACAGACCGAAGAGGAGTAGGCTGAAGCTAATCCTTATGGTGCCAACTCTTTTAACAAGTGTCATTAGTGAATGTAAACAATAGCATTTAAATGAGAAACTACATCAACATCACAAATCTGAGTTCTGGTCGCCTCCAAAATGACAGTTTTAAACATCTTCTTGAAGCGGTAAAGTGAACGGCATGACTTAAGTTCATCTGTGCATCATTCCAGAGATCAACTCCAGATTCCCCTCTCACAGAAAAACAAGATTTCATGACATTAGTTCTGTATATTTGTTTTAAGAACATATCTGTTCCTCTCAACGGTGTCTGTCGTGGTTCAGACAGAAGGTCAGTTTTTATCTTGAACATTAATATCAAACTGTAAAGGTCGACTACATCATAGAATTTTAATATTTGGGTTCGAGCCCACCATGACACCTTCTCCACCGACTCCTACTGATGTCTGCTGTCATTGTGTCCTTGGGCAAGACACTTAACCCACTTTGCATATAAGGAGCGCGGGAGTCATGTTCGCTGCTTGTCATGATGTGTATATGTGTATGTGTATGTATGTATATGTATATGTGTATATGTGTGTATATGTGTATGTGTATATGTTGTATGTGTGTATGTGTGTGTATATACTGTATGTGTATATGTGTATATGTTGTATGTGTGTATGTGTATGTGTGTATGTGTGTATGTGTGTATATGTGTGTATATACTGTATGTGTATATGTTGTATGTGTGTATGTGTATGTGTGTGCATATACTGTATGTGTATATGTGTATATACTGTATGTGTATATGTTGTATGTGTATATGTGTATATGTTGTATATGTTGCATGTGTGTATGTGTATGTGTGTATATACTGTATGTGTATGTGTATATGTGTATGTCCATCCATCATTTTCTTCCCCTTAATCCATTTCTGGGTCGGGGGGGTGGCAGTCAGAGCTGCACCCAGTACACATAGCAACAGCCCCTCACTGATCCTCCTGCAGGTGGTGAGTCTACAGGAGCTGAGATCTTTCAGTTGGGGCTTTGGGCAAAGTAGGGTTAAGTGTCTTGCCCAAGGACACAACGACAGCAGTCATCAGTCGGAGTCGTGAAGTAGGTCTTACGGTGGGCTCGAACCCACGACCTTCAGGCCCAAAGGCCAATGCTCTACCAACTGAGCTACTGTCGCCACATGTGTATGTGTGTATGTGTACATGTGTGTATACGTGTATGTGTATATGTATATGTGTGTATGTGTATATGTGTATGTGTGTAGATACTGTATGTGTATGTGTATATGTGTACATGTGTATGTGTTTATATGTGTATATGTTGTATGTGTATATGTATATGTGTATGTGTATATGTTGTATGTGTATATGTATATGCGTGTATGTGTATATGTGTATGTGTATATGTGTGCATGTGTATTTGTATGTGTATATACTGTATGTGTATATGTTGTATGTGTATATGTGTATGTGTATATGTGTGTATGTGTATATACTGTATGTGTATATGTATGTGTATGTGTGTATGTGTATACGTGTATGTGTATACGTGTATGTGTATATGTATTTGTGTATGTGTATATGTGTGTATGTGTGTGTATATATGTGTGTATATATGTATGTGTGTATGTGTATATACTGTATGTGTATGTGTATATGTGTGTATGTGTATGTGTATATATGTGTGTGTGTGTGTGTATATGTGTATGTGTATATACTGTATCTGTGTGTGTATATGTGTATGTATGTGTATATACTGTATGTGTATGTGTGTATCTATGTGTGTATGTGTGTATGTGTATATGTGTGTGTATGTGTATATATGTGTATGTATGTGTATATACTGTATGTGTATGTGTGTATATGTGTACATGTGTATGTGTTTATATGTATCAAACTGAACTTTCCTCATTGTGGGATGAACAAAGGACCTTCTTTATAAACAGTGATTTGTGGCTCGTTGTACAGACTGACAGTTTAAATGCACTTCTTTCATTTGTCACCAGTAAAAGCCACAGACTGTACATTCTGAAGCCGAGGTCGAGGCTGCTCTTGTGGTGTTTTCTGCACAGACAGAACATGTGGGAGGGAAGGAAGTGCTGCTGTTCTCAAGGCTATTGTCCACAAGAAATACTGATAACACTTTAGATTAGCTCTAACCCGAGCTCTAACTCGAACTCTAACCCGTTCTAACCCAAGCTCTAACCCGAACCCAACTTCTAACTTCTGCTTAATCCAACCCCTTTTCAAACCTGTATTGGTGATTTTTTTATTGTGTTGTGCAGGTTTGGAATAAATCAAACTAACTAACCCTAACTCGAGCTCTAATCTGAATTCAGTCCAAACTTTAGCTCTAACTCTAGCTGCAGCTCTAGCCCACATGGTGTCAGATTGTAGTTAGATAAATGTTGAATGAGTCCATGTAGAATAAGGACTAATTAGTGCTTAATAAACACCAATTAAGATCTAATGAACCATAAATCATACACGTATATAACTTCATTATCTGTTAATTAGTGTGAGTGAAATACCAGTCTGTAATAACCAGGGATCTATAAGAATACAAACTTATAGAGTCTGAGTGTGTTCACTTCCTGGTTCTGCTGCAAACAGACCACATACAGGAAGAGCATCTGAGGCTCCGCGATGACAGGCAACCACAATCATTTTATATTTTAATCTGACTTTCTACAGCTGAGAATCAAATCTACACCGACCAGAGGTTGTAGCACAGCTAAACAGAACTGCTTTTAACCTGGTTTTAAACATTGTCAGAGAAGAAGCCCGCCTCACACCTTCAGGAAGATTGTTCCAGATTTTAGCTGCATGAATCTGAAATGCAGCCTCCCCATGTTTAGTTCTGACTCTGGGCACCAGCAGGAGGCCAGTCCCTGTGCTCCTCAGAATCCCAGCAAGAGGCCAGTCCCTGTGCTCCTCAGAGTGCCAGCAGGAGGCCAGTCCCTGTGCTCCTCAGAGTGCCAGCAGGAGGCCAGTCCCTGTGCTCCTCAGAGTTGCTTCATATGGCACTAACATGTCACAGATGTACTTTGAGGACATGGAGAGACTTGTGACCATGGTGACAAACAGAGCTGATTTGAAGTCTTTTCTCTGAGCCACAGGAGTCAGTACCAGAGTCTTGTATCAACATTAGAAACAGTCTCAGTGTTGACACATGTTGTTATATTTCATTTTGTGAAAATTGAAATATATAGGTCAATAGAGATAAGAGATAGATAGAGACAGTTAAGAGAAAGATAGAGATGGAGACAGATAATAGCAAAAATCAGCATTAAAACGGATTGACTTTTGAAATACACGTTTAGTTCTCGGCTTTATCTACTGAAGTCCTCACACGTAGATTACGAGCCCCACAGTGCCCCCAATTGGTCGTCCATGATACTGAGAACAACTCCAAATATGGTCATACAATTATTGACATGTTTTTTTTTTTGTCAAACAGATCGTAACTATTAAGATAAAAAAATATATTTGTCAAATATTACAATTGTTAAAAAATATAAAAAGGGTAGAGTAATGGCATATTGTGTGGACTTAGTGAACTTAATAATAGTAATTTTAAGACATTTTATGACATGGTTTTACCTTTCTTTACCTTGCCTTTACTCTTACAATTTATTTGCATCTTGAGCCAAAGCAAATTTGCGAGTTACAATGGTCATAAAAATTATTCTGATTATTGTGGTCAATCTATTTCATATCAATGTATTTGTGTGTAGACCAAAATCACGACAGCAGTGATCTTAGACAACTTTACAAACAGATCAGAGAGAATCAAACAGTCATAGAAGCCGTTGGTCCATCAAGAGCTGGATGACCACTGTCCACAAATGTTTATAAATATCCACCGTGAATATAAAAACTCTAAAGGCCAGAGCCACGTCGTCTCCCGTCCTCTCTGCATCATGAACTTTGACTGGTCTTGGAGAACTTGCTTTGCAGAAAGACTCGGGGCACACACAGTCCCTCCTTCTTGTTGACGGTCTCCCTCAGGACGTAGTCGTTAGTGACGGACTGGAAACCCGCACTCTCAAACAGCTCGGCCAGGAATTCTAGACAACAACAAAAAAGATTGAGATGTTGGTCCCACAGTGGAGAAATGTCAGTGTTGCATCTCGAGCAGTAGGAATGAGGAGCACATAGCACGAGATAAATGAATATTGTAGAGACAAAAATATACTAAAAATCTCTTTCTTTAGCTTAAAGTGATAAACTGTAACTCTAAATGAATTACAGATGTTAAGAATTGCATTAAATTGACCTCCTGGCCTTAAATTTTGATATAAAATAAGTCATTTTGTCAAGCCTTCTCTTAGCAATAGCTCAGAATCCACAATGCCGTCCACGTTAACCAATCAGGTGATGCCAAGGGCTGTCAATCATCGCGCTGATGCTCGTAGCTGCACATGCTCAGTTTGTTTTCACAGAGCCTCTGAATCAAGCCTCTATTAGGCTCTGAACCTATATCCATAATCATTTATATTCTGAACCTATATCCATAATCATTTATATACTGAACCTATATCCATAATCAGATCCTCTGCAGATGTGTCCTATAATGTTCAATTCATGAAAATAGCACTTCCTGGTTTGCCGCGATCGCTTTTTTGTGTGCATTAAAACATTTTTGTCATGAAAACACATAATTCTGAAAACCTCCGTGCATGTGTATTAATAATGTATATGTATAATGTGTTCTCTGATTAACATTTAAAAGTGTTATTTATTGTTACGGAAACGTAGGTGTAGACCAATCAGGAAGGAAGGGGGAGGAGCTTGGGTCGTTTTTATCAAACCATGTACCTCTCTCTCTTTTTTCTGACAAACTCCAGACAATACCTTTAATGATGAGGTAAGTACTGATATGCATTTGCTAATGACATTGTTTGTTGTTCATCAGATCATCATTCTATGTCTATGAAGCTAAACCCTGTAGTAAGTATAGAGGACTACAGACTGGGCCCCAAAAAGGAGGGTCTGGACGTCCTATTGGAGAAGATAAATCAGCGGGGAGTGAAATATATCCAGAAGAGCGCTAAGAGGAGCACAGGGACACAGGGACAGGGCAGGGAGAGATTATTTTATGCAGATTTTTTGGAACAAGAAAATAAACTTGAATGATGCAACAGTAGACACACATATCTGACCTTTGGAGAAGAAGTAGGACCTGGTTCCATCTTGACGGACGTAGAAGTGATCCCCGAGTTTGTTCCCGGCTTTGAAGCGGAGCATGGCGTGGTCGTTCAAACCGTAATCTCGAAACAGGACGATTCCTCCGGGTTTGAGGACCTGAACGTGTGGAGAAAGGTCTGAACACCGCTGCAGATTGTCATCCCACAGTCTCCCAAAAGTCCCAAAAACGTCTTATTCAGTCTTAGATGAGAGAAAGAATGTTTTGAGAGGGTCTGAAATGAAATGGTTTGGAATCCTATTCTGTCGTTTTTTTCATCAACCATCTGTAACTTTGTTCTGATCGCTCCCGTTCCTCCCTGTCAGACAGCAGGTGAGATAAGACAACCATTACTCATCCCACAGTGGGGAAATTTCAATGTTGCAGCGCACATACAGGACAGAAGTAAGAGCACATACAAAATAAGTGGCTGCTAATGCTTTTTTGTTAGCTTCATACGACCAGCAAGCAAATATCTAGTGTGTGTGTGTGTGTAAAATATATACAGTACCTTGCAAAAGTATTCGTCCCCCTTGAACCTTTCAACATTTCGCCACATTTCAGGCTTCAAACATAAAGATATAACATTTTAATTTTTTGTCATGAATCAACAACAAGTGGGACACAATCGTGAAGTGGAACAAAATGTATTGGATAATTTAAACTTTTTTAACAAATAAAAAACTGAAAAGTGGGGCGTGCAATATTATTCGGCCCCTTTACTTTCAGTGCAGCAAACTCACTCCAGAAGTTCAGTGAGGATCTTTGAATGATCCAATGTTGTCCTAAATGACTGATGATGATAAATAGAATGCACCTGTGTGTAATCAAGTCTCCGTATAAATGCACCTGCTCTTTGATAGTCTCAGGGTTCTGTTTAAAGCGCAGAGAGAACCATGAAGACAAAGGAACACACCAGGCAGGTCCGAGATACTGTTGTGGAGAAGTTTAAAGCCGGATTTGGATACAAAAAGATTTCCCAAGCTTTAAACATCTCAAGGAGCACTGTACAAGCAATTATATTGAAATGGAAGGAGTATCAGACCACTGCAAATCTACCAAGACCCGGCCGTCCCTCCAAACTTTCATCTCAAACAAGGAGAAGACTGATCAGAGATGCAGCCAAGAGGCCCATGATCACTCTGGATGAACTGCAGATAACTACAGCTGAGGTGGGAGAGTCTGTCCATAGGACAACAATCAGTCGTGCACTGCACAAATCTGGCCTTTATGGAAGAGTGGCAAGAAGAAAGCCATTTCTCAATGATATCCATAAAAAGTCTCGTTTAAAGTTTGCCACAAGCCACCTGGGAGACACACCAAACATGTGGAAGAAGGTGCTCTGGTCAGATGAAACCAAAATCGAACTTTTTGGCCACAATGCAAAACGATATGTTTGGCGTAAAAGCAACACAGCTCATCACCCTGAACACACCATCCCCACTGTCAAACATGGTGGTGGCAGCATCATGCTTTGGGCCTGCTTTTCTTCAGCAGGGACAGGGAAGATGGCTAAAATTGATGGGAAGATGGATGGAGCCAAATACAGGACCATTCTGGAAGAAAACCTGTTGGAGTCTGCAAAAGACCTGAGACTGGGACGGAGATTTATCTTCCAACAGGACAATGATCCAAAACATAAAGCCAAATCTACAATGGAATGGTTCACAAATAGACGTATCCAGGTGTTAGAATGGCCAAGTCAAAGTCCAGACCTGAATCCAATCGAGAATCTGTGGAAAGAGCTGAAGGCTGCTGTGCACAAACGCTCTCCATCCAACCTCACTGAGCTCGAGGTTTTGCAAGGAAGAATGAGCAAGAATTCCAGTCTCTTGATGTGCAAAACTAATAGAGACATACCCCAAGCGACTTGCAGCTGTAATTGCAGCAAAAGGTGGTGCTACAAAGTATTAGTGCAAGGGGCCGAATAATATTGCACGCCCAACTTTTCAGATTTGTATTTGTTAAAAAAGTTTAAATTATCCAATAAATTTCGTTCCACTTCACGATTGTGTCCCACTTGTTGTTGATTCTTGACAAAAAATTTAATTTTTATATCTTTATGTTTGAAGCCTGAAATGTGGCAAAATGTTGAAAGGTTCAAGGGGGCCGAGACTTTCGCAAGGCACTGTACATGACATATGGCTGGATAAAGTGACATTCAGTGGACATTTTGAAATTGTAGTTATTATTTTTTATGATTAATCTTTATTAGGGACACAATACAATACGGTCAATAGTTAAAAGAAATGATCCAATACACACAGTCAGTGTTGGGTGTTACTTAGTAAAAATTACAATTTGAGTAACATAGTAGTGTAACGCGTTATTATGAAAATACGCTTAACTGTATTACAGTTACTACTTAAATACTTCGTTACCGGCGGCACCGGCCTCGGGAAAGCAGGAGAAAGCTGCACTACCGCAGCGTGCCTGCGTGCTTATGGCACGTTGAGCACATGAGCGAGTTTGTTTGTAAAGCAACATGGCAGAGCCAGAGGAGAGGAACTCGTTTTACCGGTGGAGATATGCACTACTTTAACTATGTCAGCCAAAAAGGCATTAAATAACTTTGTTGTGGAGTGAAAGCTTTGAGCGGGCAATTGCTCCGTTCACATGCTCAGCGCTCTGTATTTTCCCTGGTTCTTGACTGTCAGGCCCGAGCGACGGCTGCTCGTGTGCGTCTGTGGGAACTAATTATTTTAAAATAGTCTCTTTCAATTGTAAGTTTTGTAATGTGCTTTGTTTGATCAATGGATGAAAATAAATGCAATGTAATTTAAATGTCACCGTGGCCGGTCTTATTTACCTGTGTGCTGCGGGACAGTTCCCTAAACTAACATATAATACTAACACTAACATATAATACTAACACTAACATATAATACTAATACTAACATATAATACTAATACTAACATATAATACTAATACTAACATATAATACTAATACTAAAATAGGGTGGCGTTGTTGCAACAATTAATCTAATTAGAAGTTATCCTAAATTACAACCAGCTAAAACTCGGTACCACGACAAACGAAAAAGTAACGCAAGTTACTTTTACTGGTAGCTAGTTACTTTTATATTGCAGTAACTAAGTTTGTAACTTAATTACTTTTTGGAAGCAGTAACTAGTAACTGTAACTAATTACTTTTTCAAAGTAACTTACCCAACACTGCACACAGTATATTGCATATTGAAAGAAATAAGTATGTGGTTTTGAACAGATTACTTTTATGTCTTTCTTTTGGGGGTGGAGTTGTCCGTTTGTACTTTTCTTTTAGCTCTTCATTTGTCAAATATAAAATGTAACACATGGAACAAATACTCAGCTGTGCCTCCAGACTCACCCTCCTGATGTTCTCCAGAGCCAGCTTCATCTTGTCGGGGTGAACGGCCGAGAGGACAAAGATGAGTGTGACCACGTCCACGCTGTCCTCAGACACGTGTCCACGGAGGTCGTCTGACGTGAGGTCGCACTGGAACGCACAGCAGCGCTCCGGGTCGTACAGAGGGTTTCGCTTTGAGCAAACACAAAAGGAGAACGATCAGAGGCGGAGCAACATGGGAACAACGGAGCAGAGAACCAAACACAGTCTTACACAGGAAATGCGATAATAACAAACACATCGTCATCATGGGGAGCAGGATAATAGAATGTTCCAGATTATTATGTGTGCTTGAATAGTTAAGAGACAAACAGATACAAACTCCACTGCTCTTGGAGACAAGTCACAAGCATAAAAAAATATATTGAAAAGAAAATACAGAAAGATATTTAGATAGAGACGGAGACAGAGAGATACAGAGAGAGAGAGAGAGAGAGAGAGAGAGAGAGAGAGAGAGAGACAGAGATAGAGGAAGAAAGACAGAGAGAGAGAGAGAGGAAGAAAGACAGAGACAGAGATGGAGGAAGAAAGAGAGAGAGACAAAGAGAAACAGAGAGAGATAAATGTCACAAATCCTTACGTTTGCTCGACTAGTTAATTACAGACAAACAGATACTTACTTTGACAAACTCCACTGCTCTTGGAGAAAAGTCACAAGCGTAAAAAAATACATTGAGGTCCTCTTCCAGAAGAGGAAATATGCAGTTCCCAACACCACAGCCGGCTTCAAGGAGCACCAGTTTCTGCGTCTCAAACTGTGAAGAGCCATTCAACAGATACGAGATTAAATGGCATCCATACACACACATCAGATCAAGATACAAGTCTATAAACAACAATACCTGTCTGCATGCTTTGAGCTCTTCAAATTCCCTTGTTGTCCAGTGTCTGTCTTTAAAGAAATGTGTAGTGTTTCTCTTGTAGAATAAGTCCCAGTTTTTCTGTGCTTCTTTCTCCAGCTTCATCTGTTTAAAGTCTGACACCAAAATCTTATCGTTGTGCAGAGCTTTTACCTCCTCTTCAGTCAGAACTCTGCCTGTGGGGGACACAGTTTGTCCAACAGCAAATGCACATTCTGTCTTTTCCCGGGAGTTTACCTCTGTGTCTCGTAGTGCCATTGAAATGTTTGATTAGAAATATATATTGTTTTCATATATTGATTACTTAGATGTACACATATGTCATTAAAAGGGAGTCTATTGGACACATTAAGTTGGAAATGTGGGTTATATCAATCGACTCGCGAAAACACCGCCATGTTGTCCGTTAGTAAAGAGAGTCCGTGTAGTAAAATAACTGACATTTTGGTTCCCACCTTTGTTATTTTCTTTTATGTATTTATTTATTTTTAGAACAAGGATGAAATGAACTAGTTTAAAAAATATTTCTTTTCACAAATATTGTTTCTAATAAATAAAATGTTTCGCTTTGGGTCACTTTGAGCCAATGCGGAAACGGCGTGACGTCTGTTGTTGTTGTGCTAACGCTGAGCGCGCGGCTAACAGAGAGATCCAGTTTCTCTGAGAAGTTACTGCATGTCGCTTTGAGCATCTTGTATCAATGCTGAGGCTGTTCGTGTGTATGCAGACATGAATGGGAGCACGAACCCGCTGCTGGATAAAGAGGAACACGTTTTAAAGCTCGGGGAGAGCTTTGAGAAGAGACCAAAATCTGCTTTTCATACAATCAGATGTGAGTGAGAGAGAACCGCATTTACACCCAATATAATAGATCCATGATTTACACCTGTGGAGGAGAGGGGTCTGGAGGAGTCATGTGCGGAAGAGGCAAATAACATACATATAACAGTGTAATAATAATATAACAGTAAGGATACTGTGTAATAATAGGGCTTGAGTCTGCACGATCCGAAATAACCGCAATTGAAAACATTTGTGTTTCTTGTTTAAAGTTAATTTATTTTTTATGAAACATTTAAATAATGTTGAGTCACTTCTCGCTGAAAAATAATGTAGTTTCTTGTGCAGTTTTTTCAAGCCATAGATTTCAGGCGACCATAGACTTATTATGGATCTTAGCGTTGTGCCACGTTTCCGCTTGGTCCTACTCTACTCTATCCTACTCTACCTGGTTGCTGCACTTTAGAATCTGGTACCAGATAGTACAACAAACCTATTTTCAGCATCATAATCTCTGGAAGTTTAGTACGAGCTCAGCCAGGATAGAACCAGGAATCACATCACAGAACCGGTAATACACTTTTTTAGACTCACCGTGGTAACCTGGTGTCTCCCATCACCGTACTTGGACATACCTTTATTTTTCAAATGCCATTAATGACACATGGATCCAGATTGAGATACACTGTATCTGTTAAACAATCAGTCCTGGATCTACAGCCTCAGTCCTGGGTCTACGGCCCCAGTCCTGGATCTACAGCCTCAGTCCTGGATCTACAGCCTCAGTCCTGGATCTACGGCCTCAGTCCTGGATCTACAGCCTCAGTCCTGGATCTACAGCCTCAGTCCTGGATCTACAGCCTCAGTCCTGGGTCTACAGCCTCAGTCCTGGATCTACAGCCTCAGTCCTGGGTCTACAGCATCAGTCCTGGATCTACAGCCTCAGTCCTGGGTCTACAGCCTCAGTCCTGGGTCTACAGCCTCAGTCCTCGGTCTACAGCCTGTCTATCAGTGGGAGCGGATCCTTCTTTCAATATGAGCCTCCCCGAGATATCTCACTTTCATTCCCACTGTGTATTTTGTTGTTGTTCCTTACCGGTGCAGGTGGGTCTAAGGATAGTGATGATCTGGGACATTTAAGGATATTTAGATGTATAATTAACATTTACAGACAGTGGTCGTCCCGCTTCCTATGGACCAATGCCTCTTATGTGTTTGTTATTATTGTATTTTTTGTTGCCTGAACGGTCTGATTCTCTGTTTGCGAATAGACTACTTTGTGAAGTCCTCAGAGACGACGACTGCTGTTATGATTCCTGACTATAGACAAATACATAAAATTGAACATTGATCATTTGTCATATTCCAGATGACTTCAAACCCGCTTCTATCGACACGAGCTGCGAGGGCGAGCTGCAGGTCGGCAAAGGAGACGAAGTGACCATCACACTGCCTCACATTCCAGTAAGAACTGCTCACGGCTCATTCTCAGAGACCAGGACTCACTGATGTTGTTGTTGCTGCTGCAGGGCTCCACTCCTCCCATGACCGTGTTCAAAGGAAACAAAAGGCCGTATCAGAAAGACTGTGTCCTCATCATCAACCACGACACGGGAGAGTTTGTGCTGGAGAAACTGAGCAGCAGCATCCAGGTCAAGAAGACCAGGTACAGACATGACACTGAGGACACTGAGGATTACTGAGGATTACTGAGGATTACTGAGGATTACTGAGGATTACTGAGGATACTGAGGATTACTGAGGATACTGAGGATTACTGAGGATTACTGAGGATACTGAGGATTACTGAGGATACTGAGGATTACTGAGGATACTGAGGATTACTGAGGATTACTGATGATTACTGAGGATACTGAGGATTACTGAGGATACTGAGGATTACTGAGGATACTGAGGATTACTGAGGATTACTGAGGATTACTGAGGATGAGGATACTGCGTATACTGAGGATTACTGAGGATTACTGAGGATACTGAGGATACTGAGGATTACTGAGGACACTGAGGATTACTGAGGATACTGAGGATTACTGAGGATACTGAGGATACTGCAGTGTTTCCCACAGGTTTGAAGGCAATGTGTGGTGGTCGTCGGCGGGGGGGAGTGGGGTACAGTGGTACAGTGGTAGAGGACAATCTTGAGGTCATGAATCCAGTGAAATTAGTCGCACACCTTTTTACAGTAATAAGTTACAGTAGATCAAAAGTGACATGTTTTGACTATTTTGGAGGTATTTTGGACCAAAATGGCTACTTTACCTCAATATTTCTCAATATTTCTACAGTAAAAGTGTCTGGTCTTTGGTACAGTGGTAGAAGGCAATGTTGAGGTCATGAATCCAGTGAAATCAGTTGCACACCTTTTTACACTGAAAAGTTACAGTAGATCAAATGTGACATGTTTTGACCATTTTTAGGCTATTTTGGACCAAAATGGCTACTTTAAATCAATATTTCTACAGTAAAAGTGTCTGGTCTTTGGTACAGTGGTAGAGGACAATCTTGAGGTCATGAATCCAGTGAAATTAGTCGCACACCTTTTTACAGTAAAAAGTTACAGTAGATCAAAAGTGACATGTTTTGACTATTTTGGAGGTATTTTGGACCAAAATGGCTACTTTACCTCAATATTTCTACAGTAAAAGTTTCTGGTCTTTGGTACAGTGGCAGAGGGCAATAATAAGGTCATGAGTCAAGTGAAATTAGTCGCACACCTTATTCCAGTAAATAGTTACAATACTTGAAAATTGCACTACTAGCGGACCAAATTGTGTACTTTATATATGTAAACAATAGAGTGGCTATCCTCCTGAGGACTCACAATCTGCCGGAGGAATTGCTATGTGTGCCGGGTGGCATCTCTATAAGGTTTTAATCACAAAAACGTGTCTCCCTGACCCCAGCGCGCTTTCTGTTCGATAAAAATGGGTGACTCCGAAAGGACGTTCCGCTGTTACCGTAAGTTCTCAACAAAACGCGCACCGTCTTTTCCCCGATGCGGGCCGCATGTTCATAGAGCTGAAAGATGCGGGCCACTTTACCGCGGTAAATTAATAGACACAGCTGCTTACAGCGATGATCGCTGATGGAGACGGAGACACGCGGTGTGCACGAAGGGGAGGGGCTGTGTGTGTGTAGGTCTCTGTATGTGGGAGAGACGCGTAGCTTGAGTGAGAGTTACGAAGGGCCGCCACATTTTAAACCCCCCTCCCCGCTGTCAAATTGACCGCTGCGGCGGCACTAGACGATGCATGTTTTAAATAGCGTAACAAAAAAAATATATATATAATAATACGAAACGCAATTTGTGGCGGGCGGTCTCTAATCTGTGGCGGTGCGCCACAGATTAGTCTATGTGTGGGAAACACTGTACTGAGGATTACTGAGGATTACTGAGGATACTGAGGATACTGAGGACACTGAGGATTACTGAGGATTACTGAGGATACTGAGGATACTGAGGATACTGAGGATTACTGAGGATACTGAGGATACTGAGGATTACTGAGGATTACTGAGGATACTGAGGATACTGAGGATACTGAGGATTACTGAGGATTACTGAGGATACTGAGGATACTGAGGATTACTGAGGATACTGAGGATACTGAGGATTACTGAGGATACTGAGGATACTGAGGATACTGAGGATACTGAGGATTGCAGATACAGATGCTCTTTTCAAACCAGCAGTCAGGCTCATTGTAAGGGTTAAATATATAGTATACACTCAAAATGAGGTGATATATCGAGATATTCTTTAAACTCGATAGGAATTTAGACATGTCGTACATATCCATTTAATTTTGTGTAAGCCCTCAGTCATACAGGGATTAGTCAAAGCAAAGGAAGGTTTCTCCCCATCATCTGTACTTCTTAGCTGGTTTTCCTAATCAATATATCAATATAATGTTTATATTTCACTTTTGTCACTTTGCTCGTCTGCCTTCTCCTTCTCTGTGCAGCGCTCCTCCTGCTGTTGCTCCTCCTCGGCCCCTCCCCTCGCATGTGTCTCGTTCACGGCATGGAGCATAAACTCGGAGGCTTTAAACTTGTCTAAAACCCGCAGAGTGTAGAACATGACAGAAGGTGGTGTAGCGTCAGAGTCCGTGGCTTTTCTTTCAGCGGTGACATGGCACGTTTTGTCGTCATTGAACAACATGGCTTTAAACCAGAGACTGTAAACTTTATACGCAGCTAAAAACAAAACGTAAGGTTACTTAACATAACCCCGGTTCTTTGATAACAGTTTCAGTGAGGCGTTTCACCAGAGATTTCAGTCGAAGCATTACTTTGCGATACAAGAACACCCGCAACTGTGAACTAAGGAGAGAGCGGCGGGATTAGAACAGGTCACTTACCATTAATGTAATCAGGGGCTTCAGTTTTATCCAGTGGGGGCGGGTCCCGGCTCAAAAGTGGCCAAAATGACGTGCGCTGACATGCTGCAATACCACCCCGGGCCGATGGGGGTGGACCCGGAAGAAAAATTAGCCAATGCTAACATTTAGCATTAGCTGACCTCTTGTAAGCGTCTTTACAGCATGGTCCAAAAGTTGTCTCTTGGCCAATGAGAATCAATTTAATAAAAAAAGTATTTGCAGTTGTTTTTGGGAAGTTTTTTATCCTGTAAAAATATCAAGATATATGTTGTGTATTGAGCAATAGAAAACTATGTCGAGATATGTTTTTTTTCTCCATTTTGCCCAACTCTACTCTAAATGATACAGTCACCAAGTCTCTTATTGTGCTTATGTTTGTGTGTTTGTTGTTGTGTTGAAATCGGGTCCTATAAGTCTGCAGCACAGACCTCCTGGTACTTGTAAAGATAGATAAAATGAAAAGGCTCTCTTTTAGTTGTTGTTTTGGCCCACTCTTCTCTGTGAAACGTCCCGGTGGTGCAGGTCTAATGTCCTGTGTGTATTTCAGGGCCGAGGGCAGCAGTAAAATCCAGGCCCGGATTGAGCAGCAGTCGGTGCGCTCCAGTCAGCCCAGCTCTCAGTTCAGAGCTCCCACTAAACCTGGGACTGGGGTCAAGTCCTCCCCCTCCCCGTCCAAGGACAACCCCTCCCCAGAGCCACAGCTGGACGACATCAAGAGAGGTGTGTGTCTCTCAGTGTGTGTGTGTCTCTCAGTGTGTGTCCCCCGGAGGGCCTTCATCCCCACCACTGTCAGACTGTACAATAAGTCAATTATTGAACAGTCAACCAGTTACTTTATAAGCACTAACTGTGTGTGTGTGCGTGTGTGTGTGTGTGTGTGTCAGAGTTGCGTGCTGAGGTGGAGGTGATCGAGCAGATGAGCAGCAGCTCAGACTCCGCAGCTTCAGACAACGACAGCTCCAGCAGCGACACAGAGCAGCACAGCCCGCAAGCGGCTAACGGGACCCCCAGCACCCAGCTCATCAACACACTCCGTAAGACACACAACATGCTCAACAACACACTCCGTAAGACACATACAACATGCTCAACAACACACTCCGTAAGACACACACAACATGCTTCATTCGAGCAGAAAGAGGGCAGCGCTCACATTGAAACTTTGCCGTCTAGTTTAGCCACTGTGGACTTCAGAATGCACTCGCCAGACGAATGGGGCTGGGGCAGCTGACACGTGCAGATGCGTTTTTTCACATTTTCCAACCCCCGCGGCCATTTTGAAACTGCCCATAGACGGCGAAAGTGATGTCACATTAGTTTGAACGGCAGAGATAGGCGTGACTACGTTAACATTTACAGTCTATGGTCAGGACTCAGGAGAGGAGACGCTCTGACGCTCTGAAGACCAGGGTTGGGGCGAGTGAGAGTACGTTATCATTTATCATCTCTGAAATACGTCGTCATGGTAACTGCACATTAGAACAAATCAGTAACCAATCAATCAGACTGGGATCATTTAGTCTTAAAATAAGTCTTGATTTCTCTGTTTGGTTTTAGGGAACGACCTCCAGCTCAGTGAGTCCGGCAGCGACAGCGACGACGACTGATGACCCTCACCCCCTTCTCCCCCCTCCTTACCCTCTCCTCCCCCAGTCCCTGTGCTTCTCTCCCCTGAAGCCTGTATTTATAATAGATGTATATTTTGAGTGCACTTGTATATTTTAGAGCAGCTACTTTATTTTTTACCCATATCATATATTTTGTGTTTTTTGCAAAAAGAGATAGAGAAGATGGAGGAGATAGAGAAGCGATAGAAAAGATAGAATAGATAGTAGAGAGAAGAGATAGAGATTACGAGAGAGGCGTAAGCAAAGGCAGGACCTGTAGCCCCCACCTTCAGAGTCCACTTTTAAAGCTGCATTACCTGACTTTATTTTTGTATTCATTATGAAAATTCAATCCATGTCCCTGCAGTGCATTGGGATATACAGTACGTCCTTTTGAAGAAAAAGTTGCGCAGATTTGTGCTGGCGTGTCATTTTATTTTAGATTGAGTTTTCGTACAACAAAGGTAGAGAATTTCTTTCGGGTCCAGATTGTGACCAATCACAGCGGACCACTGGCCCCCACTTTCTTAAGAAAAGCCACAGGTCTGTGGTTAGCACAGACAGCTGAGGTAAACAAGCGGCAGAGGCTAACCTGAAGCTTCCCGTGTCTTAGTTACCGGTTGCTGCTTACTCAGCAAAACAACCAAAAGAAAGTCTCGTTCCTCCGCGCTTCTCGGTTCTATCATTCTCTGGTCACGCCACGTTCAAATGTGCGATCCACATTGTGAGACGTGAGCTCCGTATACAATTAGCATGTGAGCAAAGGCCGGGGGGGGTTAGTGGGGGGTGATAGCTCCGTGAGTGCGGGGAGGGCGAGCAGAAAGAGCGAGGCCAGCGCTCACATTCGAAAGTTTCACAAAGTGAGTTAGTGCAGCTTTAAATAACGGTTTTTATACTTTTAAAGCAGGGGTGTCCAAACTTTTTAGCGAGAGGGTCACTTCAGTTCATCCGACGTCTCCAGGAACCGAAAACATAGATTGTGAAACAGTTTTTGACTGGTTTTTAACATGGACTTTGATGTGTCTATATCGACTCGCACTAATGGAATTTTGTGACACAATCAAAACAAATATATACAAATAAAGTAAACACAGAGATTCCAGAGGCTCTGAGGTATAGCATGACTGTGTTGGTGGAGCTGAAGTTGGCTGCATGACACTGCGAATGTCCCTCTATAGCCGGAGTTTGTGTTAGCGGCAGAGGGCCACAGTAATAACACAGCGGACCGCATTCAGCCCCTGGGCCTCAGTTTGGAATGTTTAATTTCAAAAGCCAAGTTCCCCGGCTTTAATCTGAACCTCAGTAATGAACAGGAAGTGGGTTTTCTCAAAAGTAAAATAAGCTCAAAGTGAAAGATTTTTGATGAATGTATTTGAACCTGCGGCGTCAGGTCTCCTCCACCTCAGTGTTGTAGACAAACTCACAACTGTTACTTTTATATATTATTATTATTATTATTATTCACTGAAATCTGCCAATGAAAGGTTGGAAAGTACGTCTACACTGCAAAAAGTGAAGAAAAAAAAAATCTTGAATCTAGTGTTTTTATCTTAATCTGGCACATTCTGACAGTCTTTAACCCAGATTCACCAATGGGACAAAGCTATTTATCCTCATTTCAAGATAACGAGACACATTTCGCCAAATTTGAGCAATTTCTGACTTATTTTTCATGACTTTTTGCAGTGTAGTGCTCTTTCTCATCTGAAAAGAACATTTAAAGGCCTATATTTCAAACATATAGACGCATACTGTGGTCTGGAGATGGGAACGGTTTGAGATAATTGTGTGTTTTTGTCGCCCGTAAAAAAGAATAGGGCTCTCTCTTGTGTGGTATTTTGGGCCAATCAAAGCTATTTTTGTGTGTTTTTGTGTTTCGTGTATTTTCCACTTTGTGTTTCTTTACATAAGCTACGTTTAGGTCTGATCGGGTTTTATGTTTCCAGGCGCACTGCTCCCTCTGCTGGTGAAAAGGTGTAACTGTAGTTTTTTGTTGTATTGTTCCTTTGCTGTTGATGTGTTGGATTTACTTTTGAAGTAAAATGTTTTGTGTGTCAAAAAATATAGTTGTTTTCAATGATGTGACAGCGTTCGTAATCAGGAAAGGGAGGGAGGGAGGATGGGGGAGTGGGGATGGGGAGGGAGGGAGGATGGGGAGAAGTAAGGATAGGGAGGGAGTGATGATGGTGAGGATGGGGGAGGGAGAGCGGATGGGGGAGTGAGTGAGGATTGGGAGGGAGTGCGGATGGCGAGTGAGAATGGGGGAGGGAGGATAGGGAAGGAGTGAGGATGGGGGAGTGTGGATTGGGAGGGAGTGAGGATGGGGAGGGAGTGAGGATGGGGAGGGAGTGAGGATGGGGGAGAGAGTGAGGAAAATGAATGAATAGAGCTCTTTCACTGGTCTCTGCTCCTCAGGCACCACTGGCTCCATGTGTTTGATTTTCTGATCTGTGTCGGCGAATCGAAAGCTTCACTGCAAAAAAGTGTATATAAAATTAGGTAATAAGTGTGTTTCCGTGTTTGTAAAATCCTCCGCAATAACTACACTGCAAAAAACGACAAAATATAAGATAATAAATGCTTCAATCAAGGGTTTTCATCTTAATTTGAGAATATTATGACCGTCTTAAAACCAGATGGAACAAGTCATTCAGTCTTTTTTTTCATGCGCTGCTGGGATATAGTTCTAATTCCAAGGCAGACATTTCTTGAATTTGTCTTGTATCTTTTTAAAACGAGACATTTTTGCTTGTCCCAATGACAAATATTGTTTTTTGACAGTCAAAATGTGCTCAAATGAAGATAAAAACACTTAATTCCGTATTTTTTGTTATGTACTGTTGTGATTTAGGGCTATACAAAAATACATTAATTTAAATTGATTTTAAACTATGAACTTAGTGAGGTAATGGATTGTGTTGCCTCCCATTCAATACGACACATTTTCTCTCAGACAAACCCACAAACACTTCAACTTCAACTTGAACCTTGAAGATAAAAAAGTGCTAAACTAGAACAAAGTGAAGTATATATAGTCAGTGGAGGTTATAAATTCACGCTAATACATTTATATACAAAGAAATTCAAATGATTTCAGTTTTTGTGTAGTTTTTAATAATGCACTACTATGGTCTCCCTCTAGGTGGCAGCACCGCTCCAAACTTCTGCACGTTTCAACCCAGTTTCAGTCCACAACCACCACCGTCATTTTTCTTGTTTTCCTTTTTATTCAACAAGCTTAATTGACTGATTCCTGTACCACAGCAACGACAACAACAGACGAGAGCACACACACCATTTGATTAAAAAAAGAGGATGAATGATATTCTGCTGCTGGCCTTGAGTGAGCGAAGTGGGAGCTCCTTCACCAGAGCGGTCAGACTCCGGCACATTACAGTACGATATCCCTGCCATGGCGACTCACAGTTGGGGGCGATTCTCTTCAGACAGAAAAACAAAACGACACGGACATAAATAGCTTTTCTTTTCCCTTTAAAAAAATCATTTCATCCGGATTCTGGCTCTCCCTCAACACTGTATTATATAAATTAACAATATCAACAACAGAAATAATAATAATAATAATAATTAGAACGATAAGTCTGTCTTTCATATAAATCTCACTAGCTTACAGTTTGAAATGATTCGGGCGCTGATATGGTTCTTTTGAGGTTCTTCAAAGTCACATAGAGAAAGAGAGAGAGAGAGAGAGAGACGCCATTTTGGCTCAAACCGGAGTCCTAATATGGCGTCCTCTTTTCCTGAGGGTCCACCACTGCTGCACACCGATGCAAAAACCTTCTTCCTGATTGGCCCCTGAGTCGCGGCACTTAGCGCGCGCCTCGTATTATTGTCCCCACTGTCCTCTGCCCGCGCGCACACCGCACAGGAGCAGGGTCTGAGGTTGTGTGCGCCTGAGAATAGCGTCCTCTCGAGTGGTTCCTGGTTCCTGGTTCTGGTTGGCCCCTTAACCCTGGGCTGGTCGCTTCTCCAGGGGCCTCACAGGGGTCACCGGCCGGGGCAGGAGGTGGGGCGGATGCAGCGTCCCTGGAACAGCACCAGGTTGGCGGGACAGTGGCAGCCCGCAACGCAGGGCTTGTGGCAGGGGCCGATCTCGTTCCAGTTGTCGCAGGTTTTGGTGCAGCCGGGGCCACACGTGTCGTAGACGGCGCCGTGTTTGCACTGAGTGGCTGCGAAGAGAGAGAAAGAGAGAATGAGTGTTAGAGGCTTAGATGTAAAGGACGACAGAAATGCAACAAACTATTTATAATTTCCGGTAAAAGCAGATACTTTTCCCCTGCGGCTTTTATAACGATGCGGCTAATATGAGTATTTTTATTGTGGTTGAGTCGGGCTCAGAGCAGAGTTTATGGATTTTAAATTCTGAAAAATTCTAAATAAGCAAAACAAAATAAACATTATCAAACCCAGTCTACAATACTAACGGCTTATTAAACGAGCGCAAGCTTAATAAATGTTTTATTATATGACTATTTTTATTTTATGCAAATATCGATCGGCTTCAACCGTAAACATATGCAACCAAACTGTCAAATGGTGACATGGAGAACTTATCAGATGACTGAGGTCGCCCGCTGGTACGTTCTCAATCTCTTCTGTGTCTTTACCAATGCTTTTTAGATATTTGTGAAGTATGTTCATGTCCGACTTGGTTTTCCTAATCATGTTTTTACCTTTCTGGTCTGTAACGAAGTTGTCAATCTCTTCTTGACTGTTATTACTTCCTCTGGCTCTTCTAACTCAGCCGGATAACAGAATTTACTGGAGAAGGCTCCCAGTTGTCGCTCATTATTTCTTTATACCGAGGAAAGATATCAAATTTGATACTCGCTGCGGACCAATTGTCATGGTAACGGTCCGAGATGGGAAAATATCCGACAATCAGAGCGTGTGAACGATCCAAGTCATATAATAAAAAGCCTTATTGCTTTTTGCCCAATTTTGTTTCAATCCAAGCTGTTGATTTTGTTCCTAAGAATAAATAAAACTTTACTAATATATACTTTACTTCAGGAATATATACAGTAGTACTTTCTGGACTATAAGCCTCTACTTTCTTTCTAGGTTTTTTCTCCCTGCGGCTTATATAGAAATGCAGCTATGTGTATTTGTGTAAAATGTGAGTTGTCAGAGCCGAGTTTATGGACTTAGCATTTTACTGTAAACGCAACAAGCTAATTCATAAAAGAATGATTAGCAATTAAAGAAACATTATTGGATCCAGTCTCAGTGAGTTCATAGACGAACAGCTGCTACTTCACGGATTTTGCGTGGGTTGTTTTTAGAACACATCACCCCCGCGCTAAACCAGGGACCAGGGTGTATAGTTCCATGTATGATCCTGGTCTTCGCTAAACCATGTGTAAGGTCCAGACGGAGGTACTGACCCACACAGGCGCCGTCGGGCCTCCACAGCACAGGCACGCCCTCTCGCTCGCACGCTCGGCTGTAGGCGATGAACGACTCACAGTAACAGTTCTTATGCACCGGACACTCGCACATGTCCGTCACACACGACCTGCAGACACACACACAACACATAAATACACAACACACAACACACAACACATGACTCAGGACTCCAGCGGGGGATCGCACAAACTGTTTACTCAAGTCAATTCTGATGGATAAAAAGTAATCCCAGCTAAAACCAAAAAAACTCTAAAACCATTTGGCTCAATGATCACTAGTTTTCACCTGCATGTGTGTCCGGCCTCCGTCACATCTCCTGCTATTGTAGCCACAGCTGCCCTGGGGCACACTGACAGAAGCAAGGCAACCCGTCTGTGCCATCAGCCCCTCCCACCACCACCACCAACCATTCACACACACCAGACTCATTCTAATGTGGGGGAAGCGTAAAAGGCACATCCCTGTCAGAACTCTGAAGCTAAGCAGGGAAGGGCCTGGTTAGAGCTTTGATGGGAGACCTCCGGGAACAGCAGGTGCCACAGTGGGGCGGCTGTAAAGTGCCGATCTACTGTTGTGTCCTTAGGCAAGACACTTCACCAACATTAGAATGAGTCTGGTGTGTGTGTGAATGGTTGGTGGTGGTGGGAGGGGCTGATGGGTCAGTGTGCCCCAGGGCAGCTGTGGCTACAATAGTGTTTGCAAGTGAATGAATGACATGTGAAGAGACTTTGAGTATCCAGAACAGCACTATATCAAAACAATGCAATATTATTATTATTATTATTATTATTATCATCATTATTATTATCATTATTATCATTATTATTATCATTATTATTATTATTATCATTCAAATTCATGCTAAATCTCACCTGTAGAACGAAGCGAAGTCCACAACCCGGTGGCACTTCTGGAACTCCCAGGACTTAATCTTCTGACACTCGCGGTGGGCCCTGAACTTGACCTTGACGCTGCCGGGACAGAGGAAGGAGGCGGGGCGGCGGGGCGGGTGCTGCTGGGCGCACACCTCGTTCCCCTCCACACGCCACGACTCGGCGAACTCGTCCACGTCGAACTTGAACTGTCCGTCTCCTCCCATGGTGTCGTCGCGCTTCTGACCGTTGTAGTTTCCACAGAGTCCGCACAGACGGCTGCGGAGGTGAGGGGCCGCCACCACCTCCACGAAGCTGTCCCCGTCCCACGTGATCTCCAGGCCTGAGGGGGGAGAGGGGGGAGGGAGGGGAGGGGGAGAGAGGGGAGAGAGGGGGAGAGGGAGGGGTTACGTGATATATTGTATATCTCCCGGAGGAGATTTGTCTTGGACTCACAGGCTGCTATTGACATGCACTAGCAAAGATAGACCAGAGAGAGACCAGAGAGAGACTAGTGAGAGACCAGAGAGAGACCAGAGAGAGACCAGAGAGAGACTAGTGAGACCAGAGAGAGACTAGTGAGAGACCAGAGAGAGACCAGAGAGAGACCAGAGAGAGACCAGAGAGAGACTAGTGAGAGACCAGAGACCCCAGAGAGAGACCAGAGAGAGACCAGAGAGAGACCAGAGAGAGACCAGAGGGAGACCAGAGAGAGACCAGAGAGAGACCAGAGAGATACCAGAGGGAGACTAGTGAGAGACTAAGAGAGACTAAAGAGACCAAAGAGGAAGAGACCAGAGCGAGACCAGACGAGAGACCAAAGAGAGAGAGACCAGAGAAATACTGCAAAGAGAGACCAGAGAGAGAGACGAGTGAGGGACTAAGAGAGACTAGAGAGACCAAAGAGAGAGAGACCAGAGCAAGACAAGAGAAAGGGACCAGAGAGAGACTTGAGAGAAACCAAAGAGAGACCAGAGAGTGAGACAAGAGAGAGACTAAGAGAGACTAGACCAGAGAGTGAGACAAGAGGAGGATACCAAGAGAGAGGGACCAAAGAGAGACCAGAGGGAGACTAGTGAGAGACTAAGAGAGATTAGAGACCAGAGCGAGACTGAAGAGAGAGAGAGCCCAGAGCGAGACAAGAGAGAGGGACCAGAGAGAGTCTCGACACTAAGAGAGATTAGAGACCAAAGAGAGAGAGACCAGAGCGAGACCAAATGAGAGACCAAAGAGAGAGAGCACAGTGCGAGCCGAGAGAGGGGCCAGAGAGAGTCTCGAGGGAGACCAGTGGGAGACTAGAGAGCGAATAGATAGACCAAAGTGGGAGAGACTAGAGCGAGACCAAAGAGAGAAACCAAAGAGAGAGAGCCCAGAGAAAGACCAGAGTGAGACCAAAAAGAGAGAAACCAAAGAGAGGTGAACGGTGCTATAGTGAGGGACCATTGCAGATGGTAAGTCTCTCCCCTGGTGCAGAGTGGTGCAGACCTGCGATGGTGGTGAGCTTGAGCAGGTACCCGTCCAGGTCGATGTGGACCCCGGGGCCGTGATAGGGCAGAGCGATGCGGGTCCCGTTCCTCCTCACGGTGAGGTGCTGATGGAGGCCCAGAACCAGACCCTCCAGACGGACCTCCACAGACTGAGTCCAGGAGAATGAGCGAGTCCGGCGAGCGTCGTTCTTCACCAGCACCTGAGAGAGAGATAGAGGTGAGTCAGAGACCAGAGGGAGACCAGAGAAAGACCAGAGAGAGACCAGAGAGACCAGAGAGAGACCACAGAGAGAACAGAGAGAGACCAGAGAGAGACCACAGAGAGACCAGAGAGAGACCACAGAGAGAACAGAGAGAGACCAGAGAGAGACCACAGAGAGACCAGAGAGAGACCACAGAGAGAACAGAGAGAGACCAGAGAGAGACCACAGAGAGACCAGAGAGAGACCACAGAGAGAACAGAGAGAGACCAGAGAGAGACCACAGAGAGACCAGAGAGAGACCACAGAGAGACCACAGAGAGGCCAGAGAGAGACCAGACAGAGAGACCAGAGAGAGACAAGAGAGAGGGACCAGAGAGAGACCAGAGAGACCAGAAAGAGACCAGAGAGAGACCAGAGAGACCAGAGAGAGACCAGAGAGAGACCAGAGAGAGACCAGAGAGAGACTAGAGTGAGGCCAGAGAGAGCCCTGAGAGAGACCAGAGAGAGACCAGAGAGAGACCAGGGAGAGACCAGGGAGAGACTAGAGAGAGGCCAGAGAGAGACCAGAGAGAGACCAGAGAGAGAGACCAGAGAGAGACCAGAGAGAGACCAGAGAGAGACCTGAGAGAGACCTGAGCGAGACAAGAGAGAGACTGATCACACAATTTTACTTTCGGGACAATTTGTTTAAATCTGAGAAAGGTTCCGTAACTCACACGATTAGAATAAAAAGTATTAAAGGGTGGAACTCGGAAAATTATAAAATCCTTCCAAAGTCAATCTGATCTGGGACTTTCTCAGACAGTGGTCATCCTGTTCCCTGTGGACCAATGGCTCCTCTTGGTTTGTTATTATGGCATTTCCTGTGTTCGACCTATTTGATTTTCTGATCTGTTGATGATGAATCGACAACTTTGTAAAGACGACTGCTGCTAATTCAATTCTGATCAGAAAAGTGAAATAGTCAGGACCACCCTCACTCAGCCGCTTTTCTGATCTGCTGTTGAGGAATTGACAACTTTGTAACGACCTTTGAGACGACTGCTGTTGTCAGGGCGATGCACAAATACATTGAATTGAATTGAATTAAATAGCTGCAAGTTCTGAGTTTCTCCTGTTTGCAAGACACCAATGGGTCTCGACACAAAAAGTATTATTTAGACAAAAGACAGAAAAGAGAGAAAAGTTAGGTAGCGCAGCTTTAATGGTACCGTGAAGCTGGAGTCGGGGCTGTGGATGTTGCTGCTGACGGCGCCGCTGCCACAGTCTCGGGTCAGAACGTACTGACACGTGCCCTGGAAGTTAAAGGTCCGCCCGTCGAAGGTGTTGTAGTGAGGGTCTCCAAACACTGTACACACACCCGGCTCTGCGAGAACACACACAACATGGTTCGAATACAAAGGTACAGAGACAAGAGGGAGAGATGGGAGAGAGCAGACAGGAGAGAGAGAGAGCAGAGAGAAGAGAGAGAGCAGAGAGAGGAGAGAGAGTAGAGAGAGAGGATAGAGAGCAGAGAGAGACAAGAGAGAGCAGAGAGGAGAGAGCAGAGAGAGAGGAGAGTAGAGAGGAGAGAGAGATCAGGGAGACTGGAGAGAGCAGAGAGGAGAGAGCAGAGAGAGACAAGAGAGAGGAGAGAGAGCAGAGAGAGACAGGAGAGAGCAGAGAGATCAGAGAGAGAGGAGAGTAGAGAGGAGAGAGAGATCAGGGAGACTAGAGAGAGCAGAGAGGAGAGGGAAGGGAGGAGAGAGAGAGAGAGCAGAGAGAGACAAGAGAGAGCAGAGAGAGGAGAGAGAGAGAGAGCAGAGAGATCGGAGAGAGACAAGAGAGAGCAGAGAGAGACAGGAGAGAGCAGAGAAGAGAGAGAGAGCAGAGAGAGACAAGAGAGAGAAAGGAGAGAGCAGAGAGATCGGAGAGAGAGAAGAGAGAGCAGAGAGAGACAGGAAAGAGGAGAGACAAGAGAGAGCAGAGAAGAGAGAGAGACAAGAGAGAGCAGAGAGAAGAGAGAGAGAGCAATCAGAGAGAGACAAGAGAGAGCAGGGAGGAGAGAGAGAGCAGAGAGAGAGCAGAGAGATGAGGGAGGAGAGAGAGACCAAAGAAAAGACCAGAGAGAGACCAGCGAGACCAGAGAGAGAGACCTTAGAGCAGAGAGAGAGAATAGAGAGACCGAAGAGAGGTACCAGAGAGAAACCAGAAAGAGACCAGAGGGAAACCGGCCATAGACCAAAGAGACCAGAGAGAGAGACCACACAGAGTTCAGACTGAGACCAGAGAGAACCCCAAAAGTCAAGTACATTTGTAAAACACACAAAAATAGAGTGAGAATTGTGCGTCTGTCAAAAAGCCGCCGTGCTCCTTTGATCTGGACGTGGACGGAGGTAAACACGCTGATGATCCGCCAGAGGCTGCTCCAGTGTTTTGACAAATTTGAAATTCGATTCTGTCGCTTGAATCATTCCGACCGCGAGAGTTTATTGTGGTAAAAACAGCTTTTATCGAGCGCCGTAACGAACAGACCACATGAAGACTTCGCTCTGATTCCGTCTCGCTCCCAGAATCACGGAACGTTTGCGGCTAACGGCTAACGCTAACAGCCCCTGGGGTCTGGGGTCGGGTTCAGGGGGGAGGCACAGATGTGAGGGTGAAAGGATGGGATACACTTTAGAATCAGATGGTTCTTTAGTTTTCTGGTTCAGAAATACAGCAATAACTCTGTCGACTAAAAAGAGAGAGCAGAGATAGAGAGCGGAGAGAGAGGAGAGCGAGTAAAGAGAGAGAGAGACCAGAGAGAGGAGAGTGAGAGCAGAGATGGAGAGTAGAGAGAGAGCAGAGAGAGAGCAAAGAGAGAGCAGAGAGAGAGAGCAGAGAGAGAGAGCAAAGAGAGAGCAGATGGAGAGTGGAGTGAGAGCAGAGAGAGAGCAAAGAGAGAGCAGAGAGAGAGAGCGGAGAGAGAGAGCGGAGAGAGAGCAGAGAGAGAGCAAAGAGAGACCAGAGACAGAGAGCAGAGATGGAGAGTAGAGAGAGAGCAGAGAGAGAGCGGAGAGAGAGGAGAGAGAGAGAGCGGAGAGAGAGTAAAGAGAGAGCAGATGGAGAGTGAAGAGAGAGCAGAGAGAGAGCAAAGAGAGAGCAGAGAGAGAGAGCGGAGAGAGAGCAGAGAGAGAGCGGAGAGCAGAGAGAGAGAGAGAGAGAGAGAGAGAGCGGAGAGAGAGCAGAGAGA